AACAGGACACAATTTTTTATGGACTGTGTTTAAATCAGAGAAAACAGGCCAACGTGTTCATGAACATCAATAAAGCTTTATAACAATACAATTCATTACCATTGTTTGGATTAATATTGGAATAATTACACACTTTTTACATTATGAAAATAAGTCATAAATAGTGTAAAAATAATTCTGAAGATCAACTTCTCACAAACTAGGAACCCTGAAAACAAGTTTAAAAAGCAAATAAAAACAAATGAGAAACTGAAACAATGCAATTATCTCCAAACTGCAAATCAAAAACCACATGTCTTTTGATTCAGCAATGTCAGCTGGAGAAATTATAGTGAAATTGAAATAAGAAATCAAACAGGAAGAATTCAATCTTTCAATTATTTACACTACTGAGAAAAACAGGTTTGTGCCATATTTACAGTGATAAGACACAACACATTCTTAGAATAATCAATTACATGAGACTGGCCCACAAAACATTAAGAAAAATATGCAGTGTAATACTTGCCAAAATATTTTTTTTTGCATTTTCCTCTTATTTTGTATTTATGTGATTTTTTGGCAATATAAAAATAGCTGCACATAGAGATGAACTTTAAAATGTAAAAAATACAAATAAAAATATAATATTTTCTAAAGGAAAATCAGATACATACATCTTTTAACACGTTATTAAGTTGGATGAAACATTTACAACAGTATAAAGAATATTCACATAAATGTCAATAATAGGTAAGACATTCTTTTGTGAATCCAATTTATTAATATTTCTGAGATATGTGAGAATATCTACTGCATTTTGAGAAATGTTGGTACTTTATAAATCAAATGTAACAGGTCAAGTTGAAAAGTCTTCCTATTCCCCGAAAGACAGTTCTGTCAATAAAGCAGCATAGGGAATCTTATGCATTAAACACATTAAAAAGTCAGAAATGCCATTAAAATATTTTAGTATTGGATTAGCAAAAACAAAATCTACCAAAAAATTAAGTTGGAAGCTTATCTCTGCTATGGCATATAGTAAATTTAGCCAATATGAAGATATATCAATAGAATGGGAAAAAATAGTGATGGAAGCTTCTTACATTTTAAAATAATACAGCAGAATCATATTTGGTCAAGTATATTAATTCCACTAGAAATGAATGATCTTAATTGCCAGAATCACATGTGATTGTTCGTAATTATTTTTGAGAACATAAGATTAGGTTGCTATGGACTTGACCTTTTAGAGATAGCAGAGGTTTTTTTGTTTGTTTGTTTGTTTTGGTAGAAATTAGAAAAGTTCATTTTTGGTGATGTTAATTATTAACATAACTTGGTTATCAAGACATAGAGAAAAGCAAGGTTTCAAATATCAATATTTGCATGTTCCTATGATCGCTTACTAGAAGATCAAAGCACCACCCACCATTCAAGCATAACTTATTTCTGGGTAAGAGAATATATATTGGCAAAAAAAAAAAAAGGATGAAAAGCAATATTAATTTTTTATGGTACAATAGAAAAATTAAAAAACCTTGGAAAATTAAGCACATTTTTTAAATGATAAAAGCATAGGATACCAGACAATTTTCCCATAGATCCTGACATGCTGATTTGACTATTTTCCAAACTAGCAGATATATGTATGTATCGTAGACAGAGGACGTGTAGAATCAACTACCGGATGCATAAGTTCTTACTGTCCCATCAGAACATCATGCACAGAAAGTAAATTCAAGAACAGGCTTTTTTTGGGGGGTAGAAATCTAAGATATTCTTATGTTTTCTTTAAAATCAAATAAGAAAGAAAAATACTCCAAGACAGCTTCTCATAATGGAAATGAAAGCTAGAAGAAAATTTGGGCTTATTTGTGTGTCAGGAACTCTATGAATGTGTTAGACTTATCTAACATTGGTACTGTCAGACTTAATCCAATTAAATAAGCTAAAAAATGAGGATGAAAGTTGATAAAGGCACATGGTATATGAAATGAACATGAAATAAGAGGATCCATGATCCAAGTAGGCACACGTCATCTATAGGTACACTGTTCTGTTTTGTTTTACATGAAGAAAGACTGGTCATTGAACCGTATTACAGCAAATTCATGAACTTTAAAAATAAAATCACACACTAACAGTTTAGGAATGCTATTAAACAGAGAAACACAATCATCCATAGTAGAGTTGCATTGTCCATAAAGAAAAGGAAAGAAATACATTAGCACCAACAAGAATGGAGAACAATTTTAAAGCTAAAACACATACCAATTTGGCATTCTTAAAAGATGCTTATCAGAAATAGAAATAGATCTTGACTTATTGCCAATGTCTTTCATGTATTTTTTCTCAATCCTCTATCCAATAATACAAATTAAAGGTTGGAAATCTTGAAGAAAAATATATATCTGCCAACACATACACCAGCAGCATAATTTATTAGTTCATCCAGCAATGATCTGAAGATTCTGTACACTGATGACAAAATGGATGACGGGGAATATTTTAGTGACTAAAATTTGAAGATTATCTATCCATGGTGGTTAAGACCTAATAATTCCACTGAACAAAGAAGAGTACTATCATCTCTTTCTTTTTCCCAAGGAAATAAATGTAACAGAAGTTTACAGCTTCCTTTACTCACAGGATAAAAATCAATGTTGTTGAATCAGTTGTAGAGCAAAAAACCCAATATACACATTGAACAGAACAGTATTCTAAAAGGGCTATGGGGCTACCTTTGAAAAAAAAATTTTATATAAAATGCTTCTCTTTGATATTGAGGTATTTTGTTTTGAAGCTGTGCAAGGTTTCAATAGTGATTCATCTCAATACCTCTTTCTACTATAGGAGTAGAAAGAAAGAGAAAGAAATACAGCCACCAGATTTTTCTCAAGACACTATTATTTGTTCTCCTGAAGAGACAGTAGTTCTAACCACTTTAGTTCATGTCTCCAAACCATTTAAGACAAATTGTTCCAGATACTAAACAATATTTTTTCCTAACCATGTCAAACAGATGGTTAGGAAATAAATGCCCTCTATTGTTTTAAAAATGCCAAATTGGCTTCAAGTGTGGAATGTTACTAGAAATGTTACCAATTAGATTGATCTAATAGTTTGAACATCTTTCCAATCTTGAAAATTTATTAGAAATAAAAAGAAGGCATTTTGTATAACTGAACATTTGGCTATATGAAAGAGATCACAAGTATCTTAGGATCTTTGTCTTATTTATAGTCATGTCTTAACTGTTGTCACCATAAACCCAGTGAGGAGCTCATTTCCTTCTGGTGGTGAAAACTAATAGAACTAGAAATTTTCCCACAAAATGGCATTAAGTCAGGAGAGAAAGTGTATTGTCCTATGGACTACTCCTCGCTGATGTTTCCCCTAATGTAACCCTTCCACTCAGAATAAGCCATTTCAAAACATGCTACCAACTCTTTACTGTGCAAAGAAATGCTCAGTCTAATACAATTAATAAAGTTTTCAGTAAGTAGTTGAAAAAAAAAACTCTATGGCAACTATATTTCACAGCTTTCCAAGATACAGATTTGGTCTGTGTCTGTGCATAAGACAAACATTTAGAAATGTAAAAAAAAAAAAAATGATGAAGAAATCTAAATATGGACAAAACTTAGATCTAAATAGAATTACAAGAAGTAAAAATGAGTTAATACTATCAATGTGACCAAATCTTGACTTAACTGATGATCACTATGTAAGGTACAGTCATCATACGAAAAAAAAGTCAAAAAGTACTAAAACAAACTGCTTAACTTTAATGCTTTACAATGAACCGAAAGTAGAGCTTCTTTTATATTCTCTTCAATTATTCAAAACAAGAGAGAAGTTAGTAAAAATCATCTTGGCTTTTACTACCAAGTTATTGAAGGATTAGAAGACTTTGTTTTAAAAAAATTGTTCAAAACAGATATGACAAAAACGGAAAGAAATCTTTTCCTAATATTGCTGGGTCTAGAAAGGAAAAGTATAAAAAAGAATAAAAAATATCTTTCTTTTCTAGAACTTTGTAGAAAATGTTGGAAATACGCTGGATATCATTAGGAAGGACAGCATCAGCTTCGGTAGAGCTTGTAGGGTGAGCTCCCCTACAATTTCAGAAGAGGTCATTTCAGCCAACCCATTCTTGGGAGTGGTACCCCTTCCCTTTGGTGGGATGTACACATCCTTTGTCCGCAGGAACGGGGGCTGCCATTCCAAGAATCACCTACCCAAAACAAGTGCTATATGCCTCTGTCAGTTTCCAAAAGCACTCATACTAACACTTGTTGGAATTCAGTTTATTTTTTAAAAAGTCTGTTGTTCTGGGTGCCTGCATTTGTAAACCTCTTTCCTACTTGGTCACAGGAGAGACAGCGCAGGATGCCGAGCTGGTCCTCTTCCCTTGTCTTCACTGCCAAGGTCAGCCCAAGGAAAAATAAGTGGAGGCCACCAGCTCAACCCCTTGATGTTTCAACCAAGGCGGCCGTGTGAGCCCACAATACCAGAAGCTGTAGATCTGCAGTCGGGACTGCAGCTCCCTCAAAATACAAGAGCATTTGTGTGGGTGCTCTCCGCCACCTTATCTCTTTTTGGCAATAAGCCATGGTGTAACCCCCTTGAGATGACAAAAGAAATAAAAGCTCAGATGTGATCAAAGGACTTGTTAAGGGGTATGCTAGCATCTGAACGACAAGCAGGTTTGGTACACTCATGCTTTTTTAGTCAGTTTCAATGGGTAGTGTGGGCACCAATCAATGCTAACAGTGAAGGTGAGTAGGGATGTGACGTAAACTCTAAAATCAGTTAGTATAGTGTATATTAGGAGTTTCGAGTCCATATTTGGTCACGATTTCATGTAAACTATTTCATGGCACTTTCTGTCCATGCAATTAACAAGCCCAAAGTAAGAAATAGTAAGAACAATCATTCTGTATCACTGATGTGTCCATTTAAATATATATCTCCACATAAGGTAAAGAGATACTGATCTATATTTTTTGCAGGCTTCTCACTGGTTTCACATATTGCCCAATTTCAGATGGAAGTGGAGAAAAGATGGACATGTGTACTACTGCAAACGGGAAGAAGCAGCTATATATGTAAACATATCTCAGACTTGTAAAATCTGCAATCCGATTCTCAACTATAAATATAAAAAGTGGACCATTATATATACAACTTCATGCTCGGAAGGTTAGATTCATCACTGCAGGAAAACAAACAACAGAAAAGACATACACAGAATTAGTGATCTAGAATAACAATTCCAAACTAACATTTATTTTAAGAAAACTGGTAGAACCCTGAATATAGTTCTTTTTCTTTTAAATCAATGAGCCAAATGATGTGCATCCCAAACATTACTTTTCTAAAATTCTAGGGTGTTATTAAAATTTCCATTCTAGGTTCAATCCACATTTTTCTTTTGCCACTAAGAAGTTTGTGGTTTGTCTCAGTAACATTTCTGGGAAAGCAGAAAATTAGGATGTTATCACATATGTTCCATAATTAAAATATACATCCTATACTTATAAAGTCTTCTCCAAGCATTTAAGCCCACTGTGAACGAGGTTGAGGATTCTGCCCTCAGTGACACTGTTGACTTCACCCACACTTGACTACAATAGCCTATGGGTCTTGTTTCCCCTTTCCTTTTGCTAGCCCTGCCCTGCTGCAGATGGTGTGCAAGGTAAAACCTGCCAGCTATCAGGTCATCAAGCTGTATTGGAGCCTGAGTGGCTCAGTTTATTAAGTGTCTGGCTTTTAGTTTCAACTCAGATCATGATCTCATGGTTTGTGGGTTCAAGCCCTGTGCTGGGCTCTGTGCTGACAGTGTGGAGCCTACTTGGGATTCTCTGTCTCCCTCCCTCTCTGTCCCTCGCCCACTCATGCTCACTTTCCTTCTCTCTCAAATAAATAAACTTAAAAAAAAAAAAAAGCTGTATTGGAGGTTCCCCTGTAATCTAAGGTACCAAAAATCTCTGGCTGCTCATTTTGAGGAGCCATAATTATTAAGGTTGTCCTAGAACTAAAGTTAAGCCTGAGAGAACTGAGGGACAATGGTCTTTGAGGTATAAACTTATAGAGCAGATCTTGGGGAACTTAACTTCTAGTCAAAAAACAAAACAAAACAAAACAAAAAAACAATGAGAAAAGTAGAATGCCCAATTCATTAATTACAAACATTTGTTCTTCTCTTTCCAAGAAAAACAGATGCTCTAGTGGGTGTGCTTAAGAGGTCGGGTACTTTGTGACCTTCAGAGATGGAGTTCACTCAATGTTTCTACATGTCATGTCAACGCTAGAGACTGTGCCTGTGGAAGTACTCCTTCCCTCAAACTCTCACTTAGCTCAAAATTAAAACAGATGTATTTTTTGAGTACTGATATTTTGTAAAAAATCTATGGAATTTTAACGATTCTTTCTCCCCTCCAGATTTTAAAACTTAACTAAAAAAATTGTGTCACCTTGCTTTAGGAACATTTTGCTGCAAACTTGTCAGCCTGTTTAAGTGAAAACTAAACCCATTTAGTGAAACATTAAAAAATATGAAGCCTATATATATTTTCCCTAATCCATAGTTTTTAATCTCTGGATGAGAATGGATAACTTTATTAGCCTGAAAATACTTTCTTAACCATAAGTTCTACCACTTATTCCCTGTATGAATTATACTGTGAACTGGTATATTATTATTTCTTAAAATTTAGAAAATGGAACTCTATCTAGATAGAAAAGTAATTCAAACAAATATCAAATAGCTTTGCATGAAAAATTAGTTTTGAGAGTAGCATGACCAAGGATGCTTGCTCATTAATCACAGTACTTTACACATGCTCCTATGAATTTTCAGTCAAACACTTACCACCATGCTTTAGAGGCTAATAAACATAACAGTGTTTGAAAGGGTGGTCCACAGAAAACAAGAGTAAAAGTAATCTACTAGACTTCTTTAAAAAATACCACTTAGAAATCTGATTTAACTAAATCAAATTTGGGATCACATAAGAGATTTTAGAACATTTTGTTTTTCTAATTGTTTTTTTCCTTTTTCCTCTCCACCTCCTCCCCTTCCTCTTCCTCTGTCTTCTTCCTTTTTTTGGAGTGAGGAGTTTGATCGCAGTGATTTGCATTTGTGTGTGTTGGGGAGTGTGGTAAACAGTACTGAAGTTTCCTTATTGAATTCTTTATATAAGAAGATGTTAGATTTAAGAGGTCCTTAATGCTATGTAGAATATAGTGCATATTCTGTGGAAAAATGAATCCCTAAAAGGGAAATTTCTGATTTTCTGATGCTACTCATATAAATGCTAGGTTTAGCCATTTCATGAAACATTATTACTTTGCTCGGTGCCATTATTGCTATACCCTCACAAAAAAGGAAGTGATTTACAAGTGGCCAATAATTATGTAAACCCAAGTTCTGAATAGTGTCAGAGGCTGGATAAAGTAAGCCTTTCAACATCTCCCTCTATGTAAAGTGTCTCTATGACTGTATTAAAAAATCATTACAGTATTAGATGACAGGTCAACAGTTAAAGAGTAAATGGTAATTCCAGCTCAGGATGGTATTAAAAATTCTGAGAAGAGGGGTTCTGATGATGAAGGATACTTCTCTCAGGTGAAGAATATGATGATAGGCCATCTTCCTGAGAAGCCCTTGACCTCAGCCGTGATAGAGGTAATCATTTGACTGGCTGAAAGTGAGTATGGAGAGCTGCTGAATAAATGACACTCCCGAGAGAAGGTTTCTTTCCCTGGCCAAGTGAAGAGGGGGGCGCGGGGCGGGAAGCAGCTAAGCTAAGTGGGAGAGTGAGTTACACAGGCTCTCCTCACCCAGCGAGCTGATGAGATGAGACACAAGGAGGAGTGTCAAGTTCCCCTTCATCTCTCTGCAATCCTAGAGTGCTGTATAGTTTTGCCAATGAGGCATGCCTGTCAAAAATTACTCAAGAAGCCACACGGTGTTAGAGAGAAAACTTCAACATGATCAAAGCAGCATGATCCTTCCCTCTAGCTCATTTTTCCATCAGTGGAATTCCTTTATCCTTCAGTAGCATATATGCACGATTCTTTATAATTAGGTTTACACCATTATTGTGTAAAGGTTTGGTAGTCTCTGACTAGTACAGTGCATGCAGACCTCTTCCCTGCTTAAATTTCTGCCATTGTTTTCCACCATCCACTTCTCATTCTGTTGGATACTAGCTCTTGTCCTTGGAAGTTCAGAAACCTCTCTCAACATCATTTTCTTCACTGACATCATCGAGGATAGTAATACCCTAAAGGGTTATTGTGAGGATTAAGTAAAATGCTATCTCTTATAAGAAAGGGCTCATCATACAGCCTTTGGACATAGAAGGTCATCTATGAAGTTCCCTTCCAGACAGGATATATACACAGTGACCACGGCTAGCCACATGAAGAGGCTAGAATAAACTGATATTTTAAAAAAAACCCAACTTAAGTATAACCAGATTCTCCTAAATAAGTCGTCAATGAAGAAAAAAATACCATGTTTACACTTTCTGCTTTCTCAGCTTTGTGATTAATATTGACAGGGTTCTACCATGTATTTGCATGTTTGCCTAAGTAATTGAACATACTTAGAACCACAATTAAGGATAGTTTTAAATTGTAGGGGGACAAGGGGTTTATTTATAAAAGCAAACCATTGTCAAGATGCACTGTCCCTTTCCATTCCACAGAAAGGATTTGATAGGGGAGGTTTCCAAGTTACAGTGTTTGTTAAGAACTGTTTTCATTCATCAGTTTAGGAAGAAATCAGAAGTAGACATATTAATCAAAAAAGAACCTGGATATGAAATCTTTTGCTTTTTAATGCCAAACAACTTCCAGGAATGTCAAATTCAAAAGGTCTATTTTAAATGGAGAAAAACAGGTCAGGTGAAGAGAAAGGGAGAGTGCTTCTTTTAGAAATAATTCTGTAATCCCTACCTTTTGCCAACAGCCAGGCATGGGTAATCCATCTGGCCCCTGTTTTAAAGAGAAGAGCAAGAATTCCTCAGGCTCCACTAAAAGTGAACATACTTCATTATTCTCATGCTCAGAAGCTTCAAAAAATGGATTTCTACCCATTAGGTGGCTTTAGTTGTAGGCATTTTTCCCTAATTTTCAACTCCCAATAAAATACCCAACGTTAGTTAAGGTGAAGAAAATGCAAATGTTTTCTAGAGTTGAGGACACATGTTGAAAATACATATAGAAAAAATTACGCCTAATTTTGAAAAAGAAATCTACAAAAGCATAGTGGTCTATCTGTACTATTCCTCTTAATTTCATTAAAACTTATCTTACAATTATCTTTATTAAATAAACAGAAGCAATTCCTCTTCCTGGTCACTATGGTCTATGGTTGAATGCATGATAATGAACCCATGAGTAATCAATGATGAACCATTTCTATCTGAAGTTTATAGATCTTCACATGCCAGTAATTTTTGCTTTTCTATACTGAAAGCAGATATAATAGAACCTATTCAATTAATTGAATTAAAAGACAGGTAGCCCATCTATAGCTTTACAGTAAGATGTTATCCATAGGATTTGTCAATTTTTAAATTAAACTCCCTTAAAATCTTATTATCAAATTCTGAATAAATAAGGGAGTCCTAAATGTTGCACAATTTATTTTCATTTAAAGTGTAAGCACTCTTCAGATACAAATGATATAAATAAGGCAGGAAGAGTTGATAGATTATGAGGCATGCTAGTATTTTCCCCTAAGAAAATGATGGTAAAATATTATTTATTATCAACAAGGAAACAAAAGACTAGCTTTTCATATTGAGATTTTATACTTGTAATTATTTGCCGAGTATATTTTCTCCTATAAATATAATCTCTTAAAAGGCTTAAGAAATATAACTTTTCTTTAAAGAATCATGCTTAGTACTAAAGAATAATATAAAAACATGCAGACCAAAAGTATAACAATCAATAAGTACAACACAACCCTAAAAAGTTTTCCTTTGTACTTCAGAAAATATGTATACTTTCTTTTAATATGTAGAAAAACCACTTTGAAATAGCTTTTTAAGAAATCTGGGAAAAACTTGGTAATGCCAGATTGGTACAAGGAGAGGATCACCCAGTAGAATTTTAGATTTTAGTATAAGGAGGATTTTGAGTTCATGCCAATGGGGAGAGGGGAGTTCTGTCTACTTTAGGGAAGTGAGTTTCAAAAGGAGAGACCATTAAATTGAAAAGGTTATGTGACAAAGAAGGTTGGGCTGCAGACTATTATCATCTTTAGAAGCTCAAAGAAGTTGGGCTTTCTTCCCTAGGGTCTCTGAACAGCATTCCCTTGAACTGGTTAACTCTTGACCACAGAAGCTTAACTCTATAGGTCTGGCTTATTTACGGCCTGACAGAAATTCAGTGGAAGAGGCAAAATGCCTTCGTTTCTTTCAGAGAAAAGGGGGGTGGAGGGGAGGAAACTCAATTTAGGGGTAGAACCCAAAGTTATGGCCTAGCAGTACCTTTACATAGAGGATTTTTATGTAGTTTTAATGTATTTGTTAATTCTTTATTGACTAGATTAATATTCCCCAGAACACAGACATGGCATTCGTGTCAGTTGTGAGAACAAGGTCAGGAAATTAATTTGCAGACATCAACAGATATGCGTGCTTGCTCTTTCCACTCTGCAGAGTTGCTGAAGGAGCTGTTCATGCACATGCATGTAGTGTGTATCATGTAAAGCTTGTTCCAGAAGTACCACTTTACAGTGATAGAGATGAATATGTAATAAACAAAGGAATTGCATGCAGGGTGGTAGGAAAGAGAAATACTGTACCAATTGGCAAGGGGCATCCAGCCCATCCAGGCCAGGCTGGCCTGGCTCCCCTTTTTCCCCCTTAACGCCACGGAATCCCTGTTTGTAAAGATTAACTCATAATGTTACTAACACAAGAAATCACTTAAGCACAAATTCTGCTGAAGAAATAACTATAACAAAAGGCTGGGAGAGGAGCAATGCTGAAGGACAAAGTAACATCCACTGAAGCTGGACACAGTAAGAGCTCGATATATCCCTATAATTAGGGCTTGTCTGGGAATAGGGACTTTGTCTTTTGAATGGTCTGGAATAGCACTAGTTTCCCTTTGAGATCCCAAATTCACTTTCTGACCTTACATCACTATTTGAGTGTTAAGCAACCAAGCAGAGCTGGTGGTCAGAGACAAGCTGTGGAATATACCAAGATAGCCCGAGATGGATGCTTCTGGTATCTTAAAGTCCGTGTTAAACAATCCCAATTAGCACCCCTGCTGTTACACTTCCCTCCAGCTTGCTCTTCTCCCAGTTTGTTCCTTTACACATGACATCTGGAGACAGTTCTATGAGTCAGACATACCAACGGGCAAGGTGCATCTAATCCAGGAGCACCCTGTTCTCCTTTCTCCCCTTTAGGCCCCTTTTTGCCTTTCTTTCCCTTTTCCCCCTGTGGATATAAGGGTTTAAATAAAAGACAAGTTTTATTTGGGGGGGAAATAATGGTGATTCAGAAGATGGTATAACCAATAAAGTCTGGAAGGGCATTTACCACTGTTTTCTGGTTTAGGTAAGGCATGATATTAAAAAGGTAACATGCTTTCAGAGTGACAATGGATTCTGGGCAGTGATATGTAGGATTTTACTTAAGATACACAACAAAGTGAAAGTAGAAGATTTAAAAAGCCAACACATCAAGTGCTGACTTGGACACCAGCGCCATAGTCCTAGTGAATGAGGTGTTTCTGCCATGGATCTGGTGAGGATGACAGATACCAATTGTATGGAAGCCAGCCAGTGGCAGGCCAAATTCAGAGGAATAATGAATACCCAATTTTCAATACCTTGTCAGCTTGCTTTTTTCTAATCCTGTACCAGATGAAAGCTACACTGAGCCAGAGGAAAAGGAAAGAATAGAAACAGCCTCTATCTTTTTGATCCAATTTTATGACATTAGTTTTTTAGCTTTCATTAAAAAACATTCAGTATATTAAAATATCCTTCTATTTCTTTTAACTTTTTTTTTTTTTTTTTGGGAAACTACACATACTTTCTTCACTTAGTCGGGTAAACAAATTTTAAACATGCTAATACTTCTCAGCCATGCCAACTGGAGAAAAGGACTTATTTATAATTATTGGGCATGCTCTTTAATTCACTCTTACACATCTCATGCCAGGTGTTCACAGTGGTAAATGGGTTTCCAGCTTACAGTGTAACAAAAGCCAAAAAAATTCTGTTCAAGAGAAGGAAAAGCAGTTCGGACTCAGTTGAGCTAATACTAAAAATGAGGTAGGAAGGATAATTACATAGTAGGAATGTAGCCATGGAAATTAGTATTTAGGCATCAAGGTAGAGGTTGTGGAAATCTGCATGGATCATGGGAATGGAGGAATTAAGGAAAGGAGGCAAAAGGAGGAGAAGGAAGGAATGCACCTCAGCTGTTTCTTATTAACATAAATATCTCTGCATATTTATAGACAAGAGGTTGGTGCTGTACAGAATACAAAATACTGTGCAATGCATATTTAGATTAGCGTATTCATTCTGCACTCAGGAAGGCAGTTACAATAAAAGTGGATAATTTCAAAAGCAAAAACAACATGAATATTCAGAGACATATAAGATATATATGAGATATGCACTCAAATTAATGCATTCATTCTGACTGTGTGAGTGAAAGCTCTTCATTTATTTCCTGTGTGCCAAAAAGATTGCATCAGAAGGCTCAGAATCAAAACCACTTGGGTTTCTTGAATACTGGGGAAAAAGAGAAATTCCGTGTGGTTTAGTTAATCATGATCAAAGACAAAGACCTGAGAACCCAGGGTGAAATGCGAGCAGGTGTGACAGGAAGTAGGCTGGGAGGAGCGTTTAGGACTAAATTGTTCACTCATGCAAGTTCAGTCAATATCTTTCCTCAGCAAATAACGTCAAGGCCAGGACATAAAATGGATTTAAACTTGTTTGGGTGAACTTTCCTCTTCTAGGAGGTGGTGGACACTTCTTCACATAGGTCAGACAGGTGTGTTGGGTATTAATAATTTAGAATTCAATTCATTATTTGATAAATCAACAGATCAAAACTCAACAGAAAAGTGTCATATGGATGTCAACTCTAACAAGCTATGGGAATTATTTTTCAGTAATATTTTAGCAAACCTCAAGCTTTATGGAAAACAGACACTATTGTTCCAAGAATAATGAATCAGCATTACTATTAACATAATTTTGTAACAGTTAGTGATTCCCTATGCAACACAAAACCATCTGCCCTTATGGGTATGAGCACATGAGAGCTCTTGCTAATTTTTATCTCCCATGTCAGAGAATGATATACATAAAGTGTTCACATTTGGATCTAATTTTCCTGATTATAAAAATTCTAATCATGGAATCTGAAATATGGAAATATTTTTGTATGAGTGATTAATATTATTCTGAGGATTAAATTTGTATTTTTGTTTTCATAAGTTATAATACTGGCGATTTCTTCTTTGTTTAAAGGATTATTGAAATGAGTATCCCCATAGTAGTCATATACTTTTGAGTGAATAAGATTTTAGACTCATATAACCCATTAGGAAAATATAAAATAAATGCCTACAATCTTTAAAGTACATACACCTTGGGCTAAAAGCTTGTGTGTACAATTTATCTCAAACCAAAATATGTATATTTTATCATTAGAATTTATCATTTAAAAGGAAAGAAGTTTTTTTTAAGGGTTTGGTTTCCTTGTCTGTGAAATGGGGACAGTAACAGCACCAACATCAGGGGGTGTTGTTACGATTAAAAGAGTTAGCATTATATAAAGCTTTTGGGAAAGCATATAATAGGTGTTCAAATGCGATGATATTGATAATGATGATGATAGTGCTTTTACATAACCACTGACATGAGCTCTCTTACCAATGGGGAGCTAAGTAATATCTAAGGTCTAAAGAATACACAGGAGGCTTAATACCCTTCTTTCTTTGACAATTCTCATTTGGCCTTGCTTTTCTTTCTTTTCTCTCTCTCCCTTTCCTTCCTTCCTTCCTTCTTTCTCCCTTTCCTTCCTTCCTTCTTCCTTCCTTCCCTCCCTCCCTCCCTCCCTCCTTTCTTTCTTTCTTTCTTTCTTTCTTTCTTTCTTTCTTTCTTTCTTTCTTTCTTTCTTTCTTTCTTTCTTTCTTTTTCTTTCTTTCTTTCTCTCTCTCTCTCTCTCTCTCTCTCTCTCTTTCTTTCAAGACACAGAGCTTGAGTGGGGGAGAGGGGCAGAGGGAGAGAGAAGGAGAATCTTAAGTAGGCTCCGTGCTCAGTGCAGAAACTGATGCAAGGCTCAATCCCACAACCCTCGGATCATGATCTGAGCTGAAATTGAATCGGATGCCCAACCAACTGAGCCACCCCAGACACTCCTGGCCTTGCTTTTCAACAGCAATAAACTTCACTGTTAAAGAGAAGGTATAGGGTTTTGAAAACAGTGTGTTGTTAAGTGCAGGAGGATGTAAATTAATCTGAGAGATAGAACTGGTTTAAATTTGAACTGAGAAAGTACAGTTTCAGCCACTTTATGATTTTCACTATTCCATAAAGGTGCTGAGTTTCTGTTTACTTCTTTTGCTGTGTCCAATGTTATTGTTTGAGAACCAAAATGATTGTTCAAAGTGGAGAAGAAAAGAAAAAAATGATTTTAAAAATCCATAATCCAAAATTTGATTTCACACATAACACCGATTTGCCTGATATTGGCTGTTATACACCCTGGAACCAATGGTCCTGAGACAGAATGTAAACACCAATATCATAAAATACATGAATATCTTCATTTAAAAATATCTCCAGCATCTGAAGGCAGTGAGTCCTAGTCCCTGCATAACAGTTGACTCACTGGGGCTCATGAGTCACACTGCTTGCTCTCCATTTTCCAACCAAACAATCAAGACACAGGACACATCTCCTGTCTCTCTACTCAGAATGTTGTCCATATAAATGACATCCTGTTACACAGGTAGGTGAGTTCTGCCTGAAGACCCTTGCAGATTTGTGCTATTTAATTCTACTTTAATGTAATAAGTGACTTTTTATTTCATTTTCAAGAATCCCCAGACATTCTATCTTTCAACAAATTGATGCCAGCTAGTCAAAGATTGTAGTCTGCCTATCTGGGGATTACAATTTTTTTCTTCTATGCTAGACCGGACCCTTATTTCTAGGGCTGTAGCCTTCTCCATTGCTCTGTGAAGACTTGTTTTTTTTAAGATCAGGCATCAGTGAGTTTTTGGAACACAGGATGGAGAAAAACTAGATGTATGAAAGTATCACACAGGTGGAACAGCAAAGCACACGGCATGAGAAAAATCAAACAGGCATGTGCTGGAATGCAGAGGTCACCTTTTCTCCCTTTTCTCCTACATCACCCTTCTCGCCTCGCGGACCAGGGAAGCCCTATAGGATAAAAAGTAAACCAAAAACTATTAATGTAACTGTGGCAAAATCATATTGGAAAAAAGTAAGATTTCATGTGCTTGAATGTAGCTATGAAGAGAAATGGCATGACCAATAACTTCAAAACTTACATAGTTAAAGTAGCACATAGAGGCAATAGTTGTCTAATATCTCGATACCTATATAAAACACGTTTCTTGCTTTTCTCCTAAAATATGTATAGTGGGGAGAATATCAGAATTCCAGTGTGAATTTGTGTGGCCTTGGGCAAATCACTTACCTCAGCATTTTATGCTGGCACGTAACAGGTGCTCGAGAAAAAGTAACCGCTATTACTTTTTCTATTATTATCCACATAATATAGGCTACAATTATATTCACATACTACAGCGATCATTTCAAGAGGCATTTACTTTTGACACTCTCTATTTTTATAGCATTATGTTATTATAAGGTATATAGACACTTTATGCTAAAAGGAAAAAATATTGCATAGCAGCTTTGAGAATAAACATAGCATACCATTCCCTAAAGGGAGCTTGTGAAAGATATTTCAATTTTATGCATAGTTTAAAATAAGTCAGTCAACTGCCAATGTGCAGGGTGTCCCTAATTTGGGAAAGTATTTTGAAGTGCCATTATCAATGCTCAGTTATTAACTTTATACTAATTATGTATTTTGCTTTTCTGTTTATCTCATGCAGACACTAAGGTGTGTTTTATATTGCTGTCTACATGCACAGCAATATATGCTGTAGGCATAACTATGTGTATAGAAAAAAATAGTATTCTTGCTATTATTGATGATGGAGACCATCAGCATCTATTATAATAGGAGGATGTTCATTGTACATATTACTTACATCAAGACCAGGCTCTCCATCTTTCCCCTGCCAAAGAACCATAGTAGCTACATTAGTGTTCCTACATTTCAGGAATAGGTTATTGTTTTATTTAAGGCTGCCTGGACATGCAAAACTAGTATTAGAACAACTACTTCAGAAATGTGAAAAAGAGTCTTTATTGATTAGTACTACAAATTTTTCTCACCAAATCAAGTGAAGTGACTGTTAATGCTGCAGTTAAGGGTCATGATAATTTTTTTAATTCTATATTAGGTTACATAGTCTGATATTTCACTGCAGTTTAGTGCTTGGCAATTTATCAATCCAGGAGTGAGTTGAAAACACGAATGCTATTTAGTTGATTGAAAAACATATTGGCACTAATAAAATATGCAAATCAATACTGCTTCGATTTCATAACTGGTACTTGGCTTGGAAATGAGGAAAGAATGTGAAAAATGCTTATTGGTAAGTATCATTTTAATTTGGTTAGATGGGCACCTTGTCTATAAATATTGAGGGTGTGAAGGTCACAACTTAAAAACTGTTGCTAGTAAGCTTTGTCAATCAGTGATCCCCAAATATAAAAGGAGTCACAAGACAGTTGTGCAAGATTATGGGGGCAGTGACCCTATTGTGTCACACAACGGGGCCATCCAGAGTGACTGGGGAGTTGCTTTAATTCCGTCAATTAGATTTTGTAATCTCTTTCAAAGTCAGCATCTCTTTCAGCATTGAAGTAATCCTGATTTAAATTTATTATTTTGGTTCATAAGAACTGTAAGGTGGAAGGCATGTGGAACGCATCTAGGGGATAAAAACTTTAATGGAGTATATGTTTCTATTGTAGTTCTACCCTACGCTATCAAATCACTTATAATGAACCCCAAGATAATGTTCTGAAGCAAACCTGAAGCCTCAGTTTGAAGACCTGATAACTAGGAATTTTCAGAGGATAGTTTTAGAACACTATCAACATTCTGTGTTCTAAAGATTTCTTATTGCAGTATGTTAGAAAGGTCAGAAACATTGAAGTCATCGTAAATATCAATTTGAGAAATAACTTTTATTAGCAAGAGTAGTTTTAGTCAATAACCTATGGGAACAGATGAAGTCTGCAGAAGCTAAATGAAACATCCACACCCACTTTTGGCAGTGACCTTCCAAGGAAGTGCCAGTTATGGATGTCTAGTGAGATGGCATATGGAGGGCGTTGAAATCCAACTATCAGATTAGTACCTTTGATCTTGTGGACAATTTCTGATTCTCTCAATCTCCAGAAATGTGTGTGTGTGTGTGTGTGTGTGTGTGTGTGTGTGTGTGTGTGAGAACAGATGTGAGTATGACCCATGAAGGACATGGTTACACTGGTGTCATGGAGAATTAGTGGGTGGTTCTTTGCTCCTCTAACGGGGTTAGTCTGCCCCACCAGGGAAGGGTTAACCGTGCTGGTGTCAGGTCATCTATGCATGCTGGAGGTGGAAACAAGAGACAGAACTCACAGGCAGACCATAGGGTCCTCTGGGTCCGGGCTCCCCCATAGCTCCTTTTTCACCCTAAAATGAAAGCCATAAAATTAAAATCATACACAAATGCCTATATTCACACATTTTCCCTAACGGCCTGTGTACAAAGCCTCCATTTCAGGTACCATTGTACCAACCTTCCAATGATTCAGGCTCCTCAGGGGTCTCAGTCAGTAACACAGAAAAAGAAACCCACATTTGCATATTTCACCAAATTACCTCTGAAAGAAGGGCAATAAGTTAGAGTGCTGCTACCCAGTTGTGCAAAGGATTTGCAAACCTGGAGTGCTATACTTGGGTTTCTTTGGAGTTACTGTGAAACATTCATCTGTTACTCATTATTTTATGTTAGTACATCTTAAAAATGTAAGAATAAAATGGTTTTTTTAATTTCTTATCAAATTCTTTTCTTCAGCAAGCCTCTTCCTTGACCGCCCTGGCCCTTTACTGAGCTGTATTTTATTTTATGGCCTCCCACCCCACGAGATAGGCATGATTATTCCCTGCTGTGCCCCTCACTAGAATATGCACACTGGGGTGCCAGCGTCCTACTGCATCCTTATGGCTTATAATAGTGTCTGGAACATCAGTTAATCATATTTGAATTAATCAAGTCAAATCAGTACAATCACGTACATGTTTGGTTTCCTTTCTGAAAAAGAGAGTTTAGAAACTTTTATGCCTTCTACTAAGTGTCTGAGAAGGTAGGTATATACTACCTGCATCACTCACTCTCCATAAGCCTATTTAAATAGAATAGTTACCCCAGCTATAACAACGTATGTGATAATGATAATCTTGAATGCTTATAAAGAATATGGTGAGATTTGGAGGTGGACCCGTAAATACAAAATAATTCTATTAAAGAGATGTTTTGCATTTCAAGTAGCATTTTCTTTTGCTGCCATCTCGAAAACTAAAGTGTTTGTCAGTATTTAGCATGCGAACTTCAGGAGTAATGACGATATTTATATGAGTGGTCAAAAAGAAAATATTACCTTCTTTTATCACACCTTTAAAGAACTTCAAAGGTTAGCAAGTCTTTTTCATGGCTAAAATGCAAAGTTCAGCTGGTAGCTGTGTGTGCAAATTTAAGTAATATGCTGCGTGCCTCTGTACTTCAGATTCTCATGTGAGCAAATTTCAAGTCACTATTAACATTCTTCTTTAACCTAAACTGAGGGATTGGTGGGGCTAATTAGCCCTTTCACCTAGAGGCACATACAGATGTGTAGGGAGATTACTGAAAATAAATATGATAAAAGCTTGTTGAACTTTTATTCATCATTACTTTGTGTTTATTACTGAAAGAACTGAAGAATTTCCAATCAGTCAGTAAGGTGGCCAAGCTTTGAAATGAAACAGATTTGAATTTCAATTCCAGGTTGGCACTTACTGGCTGTGTGGTCATAGGTAAACTTTTTAACCTTTCTATGCCCGAGTTTCATTGGCTGTTAAATAAGAATAATAATACATATTCTGCAAGACTTTCTCAGAAGATTAAATGTGACTATAAAGTATTAAATTATATGTCACCAAATAATATGTCCCATACATAAATGGTAGCTATCATTATTAATATACAGAGGTCTTGTTTTTAATGAAAACGACTTGCCAACCGACTCAAAATAAATTCCTTTTGGTTTGATCTGGCAGTGTTATTTTATGATTTTTAAAAATAGTGGTGATGGTGGTGGTGTATATGTGTTCTTGTGTGGGGATAGAACGGGGAGGGTAGTGGGAGATGGGGGTTTAAAAAGAGGGTTCACATAGCCTGGAGTAGGTTTAGCTTGAAAACTCTTCACAGATTTTTTTTTTTTTTTTTTTTGGCATACCTATTCCCTTTTCCCTCCTCTGACTGAGTACCTTCGGCTTTATTGGCTTTATTTTGTTTTTAAAATGAATATACCATGGCTTGTTTGAATTAAGCTGACACTAAGACATTTGTTTGTGGAAATCCTCTTACGGAACTGCTCGCCCCAAACGATTACTTTAAGGTAATGACAATTCCATTTCACTCGCCTGTGACTGCTTCAGAAGAGGACATATGTCGGGACTCTGGCCAATGAGGTGTTGAGGGAAGTCAGAGAGAAAGTAGTGGGGAAGGTTTGCTCACTGCTAAGGAGAAGATGATGCCTCACTGGAGGGGAGGTTTGTAGGGACTGTGACCGGCTTGCCAGTGATCAGAAGACAAAGCCAGCACGTGGAAAGGGCACAGAAGCAGAGCAGAGACTCTCTCCTTTGAATATTTTGTTAGATAAAACAATGAATTTCTTTATTGCATAAGCCATTTTGAGTTGAGATTCTGTCACTTAGAGCCAAAAGCATCCTGATGGTCCCAGCTTGAAAACTTTTAGGAATGAAAATATGAATTTGAATATGAAATATGAAATGAAATAGGGACTCGGATGTGTAACTTCTCCTGGATTAAATAATTCCCGAAAAACTTTTAAACCTCTCAAATCTAACACCCTTCACAGATTTCCTAAGTAGTTACAAGGCCAGATGAAGAAATCAGCTCAAGGCAAGGACCATCAGGTGCTTGAAGGGCTCAAACTGTCACCCACGTTTTTGACAATTTCTGAATAACAATGTCCAATGCCTGGTTTCTTTTAGGCTGGTCTCATTTCATTCAGGCTCTTTAATTTGCATGCCCAAACTGAGGAATTATCTGGAATGGATTCCTGATTCCTCCCTCTTTAAAATTGGAAACTTCTTCAAGAGAGTCCAGATGACACCTCGGTCAATTAACTTTGAGAATCACACTCCAGTTTAGCACTTTGGGTGAGGGGCACTTGGAGAGTACTGATACATGATCCAGTTAAGATAGTTAACGTCCTGAGTAAATACAAGTGTAACACTTTACACTGCACACCATTTGACTTAAACTATGTCTTCAAAAATTCTTCGTGATTTCATTTGCTCCCCTGGTTAATTCTGCCCCAGTGCTGATACCTGATATTCTTGTGACACTGAGGAGCTATCGGAAGTAGCAGCTGATTTACCAAACGGTAAACCCTCTTGAGCCCCAAGGGCTTTCTGCCAAAAGACTACTTGAGATTTGCTGCTCCATTTTTAGTACATGTGCTGGATTTCTTGATACAATGCTTGAATGCGTCAGCAGCATGACCCTCTTAGCTTTTAAATATTTTTAATGAAGATGATCTTCCTAAGTCAGTTTGTGTTTAGAAATAAGACAACTGAAGATTCAGATAATTTATTCCTTTAGGACTTGCCTCTTTCTAGAAGCATTCTTGGATAAAGCCAGACTTCTTCATCATTGTATGTATTTTCTGTACTGTTTGTATTCATTTTGGCCTCATTATTTGGCTATTTCTTGCTGATACTTTTTTTCCTCTGCACTTAGATTATAAACTCTGCTCATTCAGGAAAAATAGCTATATGTATGTATGTATGTATACATATATGTATACATATATATATGTATATATATGTGGTGTATTAGTAAAAGGTGATGATGAATCAACTATAATGGTATTATTTAATTCACTGAAAGAAATTAGCAAAATAGACCAAAATAGACAAATGGGAGAAGTGATTGCATTTCACAGTAGGAGTACACTGTGTTTTATACATCAAGAAATGTAATAAATATTTACTGAATGAATGAGTTCATTTTATAGAACATAGAATTATGGAATTGGGCTGTTTGCCAAAGAAATCACTATGTAGCCCTCTATTTTAAAGCAAATTACCCCAGACTGAAGAAACCCTATCTAGTTTTAAAAGACCACAACTTGCACAATGAATCATTCCAACATTGTGAAGCCCTTACTTCTTTCTTTCCAGCCTATCCTGGATGGTGGGGAAATTGATGACACAATTCCACTCAGACACACACACAAGAAAAGTTCTAAGTTTTCCAAAGTGAAGAAAAGAAAAAGTGGGAGAAAAATAGAGAAAGAGGGAGAAAAGTTCCAGACAGACGAGCAGCTGCTGACGCTGCGATACATTTTTTTGTGTCAGATATTTATCTTCCACTCTGAATGTCTTTTTTTTTTCTCCCAAGGATATGGAAACATGGCCTAGCAATAGGGAGGTTAGTGAAAGGTTTTTGTTCTGTAATGCACTGAAATTATTTCCTTATGGTTAAAGAAAGACGGCCTATTCTTTTGCTAAAAAAATAAATAAATAAATAAAGGACCATGTGTAACTGTGTGGAGAAGAATACTTAGGTTTTGTAATTTCCTTTTAAAAAAAAGTTATAACATACTCTGAATGAATACAGTAGCTTTATATAAAAGATTATCAACCAGAATATGTAGTCCTGGAAATTTTAGCCCCATTGACTTCAATTTTCTGGATTCAGGCCAAATGCAAATATCTTCCTTATGGGTAAAGAAGGAATGGTCTGAGCTATTTATTTTAGCTATGTAAATGTATGCATTATTTTTTAGTTAAGGCAGCCACATTCTATTTAATACTCTGTTGTTCCTTCATGTGAGAACTCTGATTAGGACTTAAGATGGTACATTTTCACTGAATATTTTAGATGGTCTTTTATTTCTTCTGGGAAACTAACAGTTTAGCTCAACTAAACCTGAAAAGCCACAGTGTGTTTTGTTTAGGTCACAGCTTAATAACCTCAAGAACAACTTACTCTTTCTCCTTTGGGACCTGCAGGGCCATGGGGTCCCATAGGGCCATCTGTACCCTAAAAAAAAGACAAAAAGAAGATAATATGAGACATATTCCGAGGGCCATAAGAAAAGCAGTTATAATTTATCCTGGACTTTTCCTGGGTGAATGATGCCTTAGAAAGTCAGTAAGACGCCTCATCTCCTTTCAAAGTGCTTTATGCTTGATTCTTTCAGGCCAGCAGTTTCCAAGAAACCCATGCAAAAAGAGTGTGTTATGTAACTGCATATTTCAATGAAGGGCACACACGAGAAACTGTAAGTCATATTTCATTATATACTTCCTCCCTGACTTCATGGAACATCTTCATTTTGCCCCCATAATCTTAAGGAGAGAAATAAATGGAGGTGTTTCCCCTTCATATTACTTCTTCAAGTCCATTCACCACCCACGGTCACTCTCATGCTCCTGGGCCATGAAGCTTTGTTTTCAGCTGTTTCAGAGGCTTGACCAGTGACACAGGTGGAAAAAAAATATTAAGTAAATGAGAACAGTGTTTAACTGTTCAAACCAAACTTTCTCTGGCTCTGTTGGGAGCAGCAGGGGGCTCAGAGGGAAGGAATTACTCTCCTAGCTTCTGCTACAGTCTTACAAGGCATAAACCCGGCAGCCGGCTGATTTAATGGCATAATTGCCCTCTGGCCTCCTTGTTCAGGATTAGGATTTCTGTCCCAGACTGAATGAGCACAGGAACACTAGGTCCAGTGAAAATAATAACTGCCTGAAGCAGGTTTTTAGAATTGAAGAGCTTGGAATTTCTCTTTGATTCTTAAAGATGCAGCAAGGGCTTCAAGTGATTTGCTCATTTTCAAGAAGACTGTGCTTATTTGCAAAGAATTTATCCTAATATTTGCAAACGTAGGAATTATTCTAGCACAGTTTTTAAAAATAGTATTCATATTTCTGTTCTACTATTCTTTTTTCTTCTATTAAAGCTTTGCGATATGAGATAATTTAGAGCTTGAACTGATTCTAATATTGGTGAATTCTTATCATCTTAATCTGATCTTTTTCTTACTGCCTGAACTGAAAGTTCTTCAGAGGACTTCTAAATACTGATTATCTGTGGCTGAAATTTAAGAGATGGAGCTGTTAAGAACCAAAGAAAAGAGACAAAATAACAGGAGAAAGACAGGTCACTTTGATGAACAGAGATCTGAACGTTAGTTCTCGGGAAGAAGTTACATTTTTAATATGGACAGAAAAAACATAAAAGGAAGAGCAAGTTCAAATAAACTCTTCAGAGGAACTCGCTCATGGAATTATAGGAACTGTCCTTTAGTTATAGAAAACTTTGTCTAGGATTCTAAGATAATGAAGCTAATTAGACTGGTCATTCTCTCCACCTAGAAGATTATCCAGACTGGAACTCAGAAGGATGTCCTGTAGTTCAGGATGTACATCAATCACAGCTGCAACTTCTGCTCTACCTTTCCCTTTTGTATCACTATCTTTGTATACCTTCTTCCTTCACCTCAGTCCTGTGTAGCCCTCATCGTTTGATGAAAGTACATGGGGCAAAAGAGTCTGTCCTGAAGCACAAATTCATAGCCATAAAACATGTTGGAGCAAGATGAGGTACTGACTCACCCGGGATCCTGGCTTCCCGTCTAAGCCAGATGCTCCCTGTGTGATTTGGTTGGTAGCAGGGTTGGTGGGTATAACACGAATGACAAGAACAGAGATTAGTATGAGGTACTAATGAACAAATGTAACGCTTCAAACAACATAATACGCAGTCACAGGGCTCTGGGATGAATATCACATTGCTACAAATTGTTAGTTAAAAAAAACGAAACACGTGACAATAAACGCCCCACAGATGATGGCATTTTAATGACATTTCCATTCGACAAATTCTTACTTAGAAATCAAGTCAATGAGGTTTTTAAAGTGGGCTTTCAAGGAATTACTGGTAACAGTCACAGAGTGCTAATTTCCATATGATACTCATTTTCTAGAGACTGAACTGTTCTCAATAGATTTCTTTAGGTTTTGAATAAAAGTAATGGCCAATGTTCTAAGAAAGGGCTCATTATAATAATCAATCAAAGTTAGCATTTCAGAGGAGAAGAATAAGGGTCTAGTTTTTGTTGTTGTTGTTAATATAGCAGTTATGAATAACAAATGCAGAATTTTAACATGCCAAAATGACTCCGTGGATCTTACATGAATAATACTCATTGTTTTCTGGGTTGTTCTTACTGTGTTCACATTAGTTACCACTAGAGGGACTTCTAGGAACAGGAAAAAGCTGGGAAAATTTCATGAGTCCAAACAAAAAATAACTGTCCCAAACAAAATTGTTCTTCAATTCACTTCAAATAATCACTGCATCAAAGTCTGAAAGGGAAATGGTTTAAAAGTGCAATGTTGTTCTCAGGCAATGTGTGCTTTTTGTTTTGTTTTGTTTTGTTTTTTTACCTTTATCTCCAAGCTATGCATAGTGTATGACAAAATATGACACTTTCAATGCTTATTTTAAGAATACGTACAGTTACTTCTTTGAATATGCCTTTTGTATCTCAAAACTCAAATACTGATTTATAGTCCTTTAAAACCATTGATTAAATCAAGGAGTATTTCAGGAAGACGATGCACTAGCCCTATCAATCTTCTTGGCTAGTTTGCAGAACTATGTTCCCATTTTATGCTGCAGATATAGTTAATAAAAAATGAAAGAAAAAAACCTATTCCAGCTGTGGACTCTACCAATGATGCTGTGCATAGTCAGGCTATGCAAAATACATCTTTAGTTAGCAATGATTAAAATTTTTAAAAATGTATGTTGTTTAATGATAGCGTATGTACAGCTTTTGGCTAAATGTTGCATAAAAATTATCACTAGTCTTAAATTTGGAATTAGGGCAAACTTTAAAGAAATAGAATTGAGGGTTTAATAAAATAAAAATTCAAACTTTCTTTTGTCTTTTGATACTTTCTTCAGAGTCACCATTATTATAACATGTAAAAACGAACACGGAGATGGTAAAATTTTTGTACTGAGAGTTTAATGTTATATTTACCTGGAATGTGAACTAATGACTCACGTATGTCACAGAGGTTTTGTGCCCATGGTCCCTTGGTCTAATTGGTGTGATTTAACCTATACTCTGACACAAGGCTTTTATCGTTCATTCAATAAGTGAGTACGTATTAAGTATCCACTAGGTGCCTGATCTCTGTAAGGGTACTTCCCACTTAAAATGAAATAAGTAGGCACCAACATTTTTTATAAGTAAAATATGTATTTAAACTATTTTCTACCAACTTTATGTCTTATTTTAGTAATATACTCTATAATGTTCTTTACTGCCGTCTATCTTCATTCACCGAACAGTCAGCATATAATAACCTTTAACCTAAAACCTCATAAGCCTTTAAAATCAACCTTTAAAATCATCATTTTAAAAAATCTCTTTATAGCTCTGGAAAGAGGACTGGCCTAAAGTGCATGGCAGATGAGAATTTTTATTAAAAATGAAAATCTCAAAACAACTGTCAAATACTTCTTCCAAACTATCCTCCACTGCTGCCAAAAGAACCTCATAAGAGGGCATTTTCAAAACAAATAACACACAACACTTAGACCATGATATGATTGATTAATGTAAGGAGCCACAGCATTGACTTCACGCCATCAACAATGGCTAATCGTATACCTTCCACCCAAGAGAGGGCTACGGTTTTTGCTATCGATGGGGGAAAAAAATTGAGGGAGGGTTCTACACTGAACTAAATTATAAAAACACTTGGGAGAAATTATGACATAATCAGCACAATGCCTTTTTAAAGGGCAGGGTGATAAAAGAAAAATCATCAGCCTTAAGAGAGGAAGGTTGGCATGTATGTAACTGAATGACAGAACACGGACAGCACTGTTTGTCATGGGGTCTTCCTCTGACACAAGAGCAGTCATAAGACAAAACTGGGCTGAGCTCTGCTCTAATATAATGTGTTTTCCAATCACAGAAATCTCAAATGTAAGATAGTCACCTAATAAACTAGAGTTGTTACTTAGGGTAGAAAGAAAAGTCTGAGATTTGCACTGAAATGGAAAGTTTTCTTTACTTACTGGAAGACCAAGGGGTCCTCTGTCACCCTTTTGACCTGGTTCACCCTTCAATCCTTTAACACCATTTAACCCTGGTTCACCCTAAATGCAAAAGCAAATGCCAATTTTGGTTGCTATCATGGGTGCTTTAACTGTGAGAGAAGAGAGCCAGTCTCTGAAATGGTTGCAGATTCCAGTTCTAGACAACAGCAGAGTGAGGCTAGACTTGTCTTGCATCGGTTCAACATTCATTTCAAACATTTGTAAAAAAAGTAATAAACTGAAATCAACAAGGAATGTTCTAGGAAGCCAAACTCTTGAGAAAGTGTACTCCTTGAAATTGAAATGCATATGAGCGAGTTCTAGAATTTTTCAGATCTACCTCAAGGAAACTGGTGCTATGGTACCTTATTCTCACCAAGCAAATCAGAGACAGAGTGGAGGATGCTGAAGGGGGTTCGGTAGTCCCACTCTGCTGGACTGAAAAACTGGAATATGCAGGACAGTGTTATATACACATATTTTAAGCCTTTAAGCATTTTACCCGGGGGAATGAGCTAAAAATGTAGCAGCTGATGTTTGAAGTGGTGCCATGGAGTGAGTGATTATTCACGGACTTGGCCAAGTCAGATCTCTACATGGATTAATCAACAGAATAGACAACAAATAGCCAATCCCAGAAGAGACTATGAAGACCACAGTACTTAAATGTAGTTTTGCTGCTGTCCATCTGTCCAATAGTATAATACAGAAGGTTGAAGTTTCACCTCAGGTGACATTACAAAAGCCATGGTAAGTGATAAATTCTATTGACTCTGATATTTAATAACCTAAGAATATGGTACATCTATTTTCTATCAGCAGGAGAAATAGAGTTCTGACCTATTCACTTTTCAACTTTTAAGTACAGGCATTAATTTCATCACAAAAATCTGGGAAGATTTGTGAAAGGAAGACGCAGTCTCAAATGCCCTATAGAGTCTTGCTGGGTAGGTGTGGGAGTGGGGAGAGATTGTGTTTACATGGCAGGAGAGATTATTAACCTGGGAGATATTTTCCCTATATGTCTGATTGATGATAACCAGCGTGGTGCCTGTTAAACAGAGTCCAGGACCCCACTTAGTGTTTGAACTTCCAAAGGGGTCACAAAGTAATGAACACATTGGTTCTGGGGATTCTGAAGATGTTTGCAGTGCTGTCACTGCAGAAAATCCAAATAGGCTGTGGCTGGTCAAGGTTGGTCCTGGGGTTGTCACAGAGCTAAAGTTAAGGTGAGATTAAGGCCAAGGCTGAACAGTTAGCATTAGTTAACTGGTTTCAACTTGAGATTGATGGCTTTACATGTGTGTGGACTTTTGGCTAGAGGTCTTGAGATGATGTATAGGCAGGGCTGCTTTGGTAGGCCATGAAATTCTGTGGTGAGCAATCATACATTGACATGAGTGGGCATGAACTGAGAAGCTGAATTTATTAACAGTCAAATGTAGTGGCAGAAAGACCAAATTTCAACTTTGGACTTAAGTTCTAGTCCCAGATTAATCATTTAGTTAGCAGTGTAACTTTGGGCAAATAATATAAATTTCATGGACCTATGGTTTATCATCTATAAAATCAAGGATCTATCACAGGTAAATCTATGAGGTCTTTCCAAACAATAATTTTCTGAAATCTATGATTTAAGTGGTCCCTTAAAATTCAAGGAGAAGTCAGGAGTAGGAATTACTGATTTAGTCCAGGGTGGGGAAAAAAGAGCCAGAGAGGTTGGATAACTACTAAGACCACAGGGCTGATAGATGGGCTCTCTCTTCTGACCCACAGCACAATGCTCTTAACTCGAACTATAATCCATGCTTCTGAGATACTGGCCTTACTAGAAGTAGGGTGTTATAAGAAGAATAAAGAGGCATGACTTCTTCCCATTCATGGGTGAGTCACCTGCCTGAGCCCAAAAATGAAACTCAGGTTTCTGGGGTCAAACCAATACTCCTGCACTCCTGAAGCTGGGTGGGCCACAGAGAGCTCTTAAAGGAGAGGGTAGGCTGCCTCTAAGTTTTCTGGTTTCTAGCTCAAACGTTGCATTTATGTATCCCCCTACCCCTCACCATTTAAATGCACCAACTCACTACTGAGGAGCTTTCAAGAGTCCTTGAATCTTCTCTCATGCTTTTTTTCCCTTGAATTTTAAAATTCAGAACAAAGCATCAAATCATAAGATAACAAGCAATATTTATCAGGTGGTTATAGATAACTGCACCAAATATTGTGCTAAGTATCTTATAAATATACCTCATTAAATTATTGCAACACTATGAGGTAAGTTGCCTAGTTGAGTAAATGAAGAATAGAGTGGGTAAATAGTCTGCCCAAAGTGACACGGCTTGTTAGTGGCAAAGCTGAGATTAGAACATAGACACTTATTACATATGCTCCCTGGAAGAAGGAACCTTTCTTTCAGGGCTCATTTTAACTCTCTCAAATGTCCTCTTGGTCTACACAAAAGCAAAGAACTGGTGGAAACCACTTTTACAATATAAGCTGCATGAATTCTGACAAACAGGGGTATTCTCTATTGTTCTTTTACTAATCCAGAGCATAGAATACATGTAAGTGATATAATCTTCTCAGTACAGCACACCTGATACATTCATCCCATTCTAGACCAGTGATCTCTGGGGGAGTACACAATTAAGATGTTTTATGGTTAAAGCATTTAGATGCAGCACTGCTATATGATAAACAATGGGTATCAGTAACACCTAAATATGCAACTAATGATACCATAATAAAGAACATCTGAACCAGTCTGAGAATCTCATCAGATTTACTTCTAAATGGTTAATTTTGAGTATACATATTATGGTTAGTAACTTAAGAAACTTACATAGTGTCATGGAAAAAGGCAAAATGAGGAGTCATTCATCTCCAGGTGATATCACTTAAATTTGCTATAAGTCATTCTGTGTTGTGAGATTTAAACATCTGGATACTTAAAGGCTTAAAGATTATCAACATTACATGACAGATAAATAAGACAGGACAGACATGCTTCCGTCATGCTTCTCCATGATTAACAGGGAAAAAGAAATCCAATAATCAAGGGAATTTTTTGGATTACCTTTGGTCCAGGAAGTCCATGGGGTCCCTGAAAATGAAAAACACAGATTTTAATTAAGAATTGATTCACTTTCTTAGCAGAAGTGATTATTATATAGAGTAACCAAAGAGATGTAAAACAAGAATCTTCTTTGAGCTATAGCTAGGGGCAGGCTGATGGGTGTTAACACTAGTGAACATTTCTTCTAGCTCTTGGATTGTTCTGTAATTGGAAATTCATTAACAGAAATTTGTTCTGTTAAATACCTGTGAGAGGGAGGGAGAAATATGGAAGAAAAACATTTTTAAAAAGTATTGTGAACCCACACTACTCCTATTTCTGAAATCCACATTTTTATAAAATCCAGGTGGAATCTGTGACATGCTTTGAATGTGTATGGCATAGAGATAAGTCCTAAAATACAAAAATTTGCCAAAGAGAAGTCCTGGTGAAGGGAAGACCTTTTCCCATTATTAAATCCTCTAGACCCAAGAGGAATCTAAAGGAAGAAGGAAACAAGGAGATGATAGTCAAGTTTGGAAACCTGTTGCATCATTAATTTAATTTAAGACTAATGATAGGATTCTATTGGAGGAGTACGAAACATCATTAGTCAGAATATATTTGTTCTTACAAAGCCGAATTCTTCAAGGCTCTTATAACAGTTGTTTAATGGAAGGAAGTTATAATGCATACATGAATCAGGGCTTTTCTCCTGTATTTTGTGGAAAATCTAACTATAGGGACTAATTAGCTAACCTAAATTACCTAAAGGTACTGTGGATTGCTTTAAACTTTTCAAGTGATTTAAATTAACTCTTTGGAGGGAGGTGTATTTAAATACCAAACAGTGAAATCATACAACAGTAAGGAAAACTTTTGTCAAGCAATATACAAATATTTGTTATATAGGTCTACATTGGAATAATATTTTCCCTTTAGATGAGTAGTGGATAAGCATTTTCAGGAAATGGCTGTTACTTTATCAAATATTCTTATCTATTGCTATCTGTGGTAATGGTGTAAAATCCCTTTAAACTAATTAATTTTATGATATGAATAAGATACAGCATTTAAAATTTTAATCTTCTAACTCAAAGCGGAGGGAGTAATAAAAAAGCCAAAAGTATGCCATTTGGTTAATTCTTAATGAATTCTTTAGTTTTAAGAAAATAATGTTAATTATAACTATTTAATGATATGAAATAAATGGTAGTTAGTAAGAAATAGATGATTGTATCTGGGGCTATGTTCTGTGGTTTAGATCATTCCAGTGATGCTCTAGGGGGAAAACATGACCCACAGTTTATTTAATCTGTATGACTGAAGACATGGAGTTTATTGAGAGACCTTAGGAATGAATATGACCTTAGAGGCTACCTGACTTGTACCCATCCTGCCCAAGTCACAAGCAGTTGAAGCACTCCACCTTCAATGTTCTAGCCTTAACACTAGTGCCATTAGGTGGACATTTTGAGAATTACACTGGTTTAATGGCTGCCTTCCTCCCCAGATGGCAGTTCTGTGAAGGCATGGCCATTGTCTGAGGGATACTTGTGGTAAACACTGGATCCTCCAGAGTACCATAAAGGTGAAAAGAAAAATAAGCAACAATATAGGTCATCTACAATTTTTCTCATATTATTTTATAAACGTTCCTATTAAACATCTTATTAAAATGTTTCAATCAAAGTTGGCTACGCACATTCATTAATGGCCACAATTATTAATCTTGTTATTCTACGAACAGCCTAAACAGTGGTTGCTTACGATGATTTTTTTGATGTTCATACTGGAAATTGGAGTAAAGCTTGTCAAATCTACCTTTGACTCTCCTATCACAAAACAACTCTATCCCTTTTTAAGACATATGTTTGGGGGGAATGAAAGACAGTACTGTAAAGTCAGATATCTCAGCACCTCGTATTTTCTGTCCATTCTACAGAGAGCAGTACAAAATACAGGCTGGATGTTTTGAGGGATGTGTTCCTGTTTTTTCTAGCAGCACGCTCATAAATACATGATTACATTTTGTACAGAAGAGAGGCTTACCATGGGGCCTGGTGGACCGTGGGGGCCTGGCGGGCCTGGTGGGCCTATGATCTGTACATCCAAAAAATAAACATGGATTTGGTTACTTCATTTAGATAAGGCAGTTTGGCTTGAATCTTGTGCTGGGGTTCTGCTAAGGCCATTAATAGCTGCAGAAGAAGAAGGATACTAGAAGAAGTGATGCATTTGATTCTTTACATTTAGAAATTCCTTCATGAGAACAACAACAACAAAAAACTTAAAAAAAATACAGCTGGTTTACAAAAGTACAGAATAAATCTAAAGTGCATTAAAAGAAAAGAGAGTAATCATCAAGAGATGCTATAATACCACAATCAGCAATGAACCCTCAAATATTTCCCTGAGCAGCAACAGGGCTCTGGAGGAAGAAAAAAAAAAGTATGCTCTGTCATCACAAAGCTCTACTCAAACGTGTTATGGGAAAACCACTGATGTTCTCCTGAGGATTAGACAGTCCCCTAAAAAACTGCTTTTAACTCAGACGTCTGAGACACTTTGTGTCTCATTGTACAAGGCTGACAGACATTTTTCTATAGTTTGACAATCGAAGAGGTTCACAGTTTCTCTACTGTTGATAAGCCATCTGACACAGATTGAACTGGGGAAATAAAAGGCCTGTTTTAGAGTTCTTTAGGAACCATGAAGTTCAGCCACCATCAACTTACGGAAGGACCCTGAGGACCTGGCAATCCGGAGTCTCCTTTTTCTCCTTTGATTCCATTGGCACCCTATGAATAACCAGGAAGAGCTGAGTTGGTAAAGTTGTTTCCAAAGTGTAAGAATACAACTGAATTTTCTCCCCAAGCCCAACATCCTTTTGAAATTTTTATAGTCTTATGCACACAATATACAAAGGATTTATCTCCTTGCATTTGAGCCTCAAACAGCATGCTTCTCCAAATCTCTAGGGCGGTGGGTGATATGTGAACTACAATTTGAAGTAAATAAAAACTAGGTTAGATGTGATTGGTTAAACTTCTACATTATTAAATATATCAGATTATAAATGTTATATTTTTTTGTGGTGGTGCTCACTTTAAATAGCAAAGGTCAGTCTTTTAACTTAGTTTTCATTGACATTTATACACTTCCTTGTTTTAAAATAGGCCCAGGGCAGTGAAGTCGTCTACATTTTTTTTTTTTAATCCTACGATTTAATGACTGAGGATGAAAACGAAGTTTCAGGTTTATTAGCTGAAAATAGGGTTAACAATACTTATCTCTCTACTTCTACATTTAAAAATTTTTTCTCTTCCAAATCCTCAGTAAAAATTGTAGGGGAAAGTCATAAAAACACCATTCCATTCACACAAAGAGAGCACTTTTTAAAGAGTAACTTGTAAAATTGTTTTATACTTTTCAGTTTATTAATTGTTAAATTATGGTTTATTAAAAAATGATCAATTACCACCATCTTATGCATACTAAAAGTGATCAACTATATTTATCTTTCTATCTTCTGATGAAAATAATTCAAGAAAACATGAAAATTTACTTTATAATAAATTTGGTTAGATGCTTTAAAACTTGTTTTAGTGCCCCAGTTGGAGTAATTAACCAACAATACCTCAAATATTTAAAAATAAAAATAGTACATGAACCACTAGATGAGACTGCAAGTAACCATATAACTCTTTTTTTTTTAAGTTTATTTATTTATTTTGAGAGAGACAGACACAGTGTGAATGGGGGAGGGGCAGAGAGAAGGGGAGAGGGAGAGAATCCCAAGCTGGCTCTGCACTGGCAGTGCAGAGTCTGATGTGGGGCTCAAAACCATGAGATCATGACCTGAGCGAGATCATGAAACCATGAGTTAGGCATTGAACTGACTGAGCCACCGAGGAGCCCCTAACTCTTTTATGATTTAATTTATCTTAATATGAACACACCCTGAAAAGTATAAACATACCGGTAATCCAGGAAGTCCGATTCCTCCTTTTTCACCTGGCATACCTGGGTCCCCCATGTCTCCCTTTGAGCCTTTAAGTCCCTACAAATGATATGGTTTGAACGTAAGAATCACACTGACACTTGATAGTAACATTCTAAGGAAAACAGAATTCCAGATCAATCTTGTCAGTGGGTGGTCCAATGCTGAGATGATTCTGATTTTCACTGCTAGTTATTTCTTATAGCAACCTTCTACACTGAACCAATATGTTATTGTCTCACAGAATAGAAGGGATTAGACTCTATTACTTAGGCCATTTGAGTATGAAAATCATGAATCTAGGTGTTAACAAAATTTCTCCTGATTCTATATTTTTATCTGGCAGCTAATTCAATATCAATGGTCCTGAAAACAATTTAAGGGATTGAATTCTGAGCAGTACAATACAAATTTTGAATCAGGACTAGCGTTATAATAACAAAGGTTCAAATAAACTTCTCCCATCTCCATCCACCGTACTCTCCAATGCCTCTTAAAAGCAGGAGGAAGTTCCAATCACCATCACTTTTCAATGGTTCAGTATATAGAAAGATATATAATGTAGGCACCAATTATTAGGTACCTGGTCTTTAGGCATCAGAGTTCATTCAAGCTTACAAATACTTCAACTTTTCCACAGTATTCTTATTTTATTCTCATGACATCCCAATGAAGTGATCCATGGTGCTTGCTTTCTTTCTTTCTTTCTTTCTTTCTTTCTTTCTTTCTTTCTTTCTTTCTTTCTTTCTTTCTTTTTTTTTTAAGAGAGAGAACATGCACAGGGGAGAGGGACAAGGGGGACAGGAGAGAGAGAAAGAAAGAGAGAGAGTGAGAGAAGTCTTAAGCAGACTCCACACTCAGTGCAGAGCCTGACTCAGAGCTTGATTCTAGGACTCTGGGATCATGATTTGAGTCAAAATTAAGAGTCAGACGCTCAACGACTGAACTACCCAGACTCCCCCATGATGCTATTTTATTCTTCTTTTACAGTGAGTAAATAGATAAATGTATATTTTGAATGCTAACAAATCTGACATTTGCAATAATAACAATGAAATGGATTTGTATTGTTAAGCATTTTCATCCCAAGAGCTTCACTATCATATGACCAGAGGGCCCATTTTTAAGCAGGGATGTTGATAGTTCTGGTAGTAAGGGACTCCTGGCTGCACAAAGCTAGTCATCTTTTCCATATCAAAACCTATTTCAGGACAGGAATAGGTTTTTTTCTTTACTTATACTTATTTCATAGCAGTTAGTTCAGAACCACTTGCTAGGTGGGTGGCTAGATAGGTGTTTGAATGGGTAGTAGATGATCTAATTAGTTAATCAGCCCCTGGTTGGTTTTAGGAATCCAGTGATGGAGAGCAGCAGTGCAGTCCATCCCTGCTACTGGACTCAGTAGCAGAAGTAGACCTTGTAGATCCTGTAGAATAAACCCAGCTACTATGTATGTAGGGACCATACAGTATCTTTATGCATGTTAAACTAATTATTTTTAATGACTAGCATTGGGAATACAACTATATTTTTAAATGCTACTGTGATCTCTGATTAATAATAGCATTATCACCAGAAGTCTTTTTTTTAACTATCACATTTATTTTATGTGACATTATATGACTTCAGTATACAACTCTGATATTAAAATAACTCTTGAATTTAATGTTCTTAACTAATACTATCTCCTGAAGAGCATATTTCACTCACTGTATCAAGAATCCTCTTGATTTCTTATGATCTTCTTGATTTTAGTCATTTATTGGGTTAATAATGGAAGCCCAGAAAATGTCAAATATCTTGAAGCTAACAATTGTGATTTGACTCTGAATTAAGAATAGTGTCCATATTCTCCTTAGTCAGATTCTTTCTGGCCAGAGGTAAACAACAGCTTGAGGCCAAATCCAGCCCAGAGATTATTTTTGCACAAGATGAATCTTTTGAAAAAAATTAAGGGGTATTAAGATAAAAAAAATCTGTGACAAAAACTCTATGTGATCTATAAAGCCTAAAACATTTACTATATGGTCTTTTATAGAAAAAGTTTGCTAACCTCTGATTTCAGGGAAACCATTGGGGATATACTGACATATTCTGTGTAGGTGCAAGTGCCCCATTTGTTTCTGTCTTTTCTAGGGATCTTGAAAATTAGGTGTAATCTTTATTTGGAAAAAAATATTGTCAGAATAACACACACAAGCAATATCTAACTTTGTGGAAGCTTTGGTTGACTGATTATAATCTTGAACTGTTAGTATTCACTTACAAAAATTAGGCTATTCTTACTAAATTGATAGTGATCTTATAAGTCTAATAAAAATTCACAGAAGTGTCACTGGTAGATTGATAAGGAGTATTAACACAAAATGTCATATCCCTTGTATGTTTCTACAAAGAAAACTAATGTCTAATTTAAAGCCAATTGCTTCTTAGAGTTAATGTAATCTCTACAACAGATGGTGAAAAAAGAGAGAGGAGATCATATATCAACACTCATGTCTTTTTGGCTCCAAATCTATAATAAAAGGGGTGATCAATAATGATGCTTTAAATGACAGTATGTATCTTTGAAAATTACCTGCTCTCCATCAACTCCTGGGATTCCTGGAGATCCTGGCTCTCCCTGTTAAAATAAAAAGTGATTGCTTACCTCCATTCATCATTGGTAAGTAAAAGTGATGCTGGCTGGTAATAGTACAATTTGACTTTTCAGCAAAGGCATCATAACCCAAGAATACTTGGTTACATCATAGCATATCAAAACTAAGTGAAATAACATTTTCTTGAAGATTACATGAAACAATACTTATAGGTAGCTAAGAGCCAATGTTTTTGTTTTTTGCCCCATGTGAGATTCAGGCTAAAGGAAAAAATGGTGAAAGAAAACTGGTAGAGATCATTTGAAGGCTGACCATATCCTGTAACAACAACCTATATGCTTCAGTTAATTTTTTTCTCTAACTTGGGAAAAAAGGCAAAAACGTGACAGTTAACTTAAAAATAGAATGTAATGTTTTAACTGGCACCATTTGAACAGTGGATACAGATCCATGATTGTGAGTGTGCTATTTCCAGATATAATCAGTTAGATAATATCTTAATCCATAAAATTACTTTTGGATCAGTTCAATAACCTATACTATGCTAGGAATGAATTAAAGTTTACTATTCATATTATGATGTATTATAAACCCTGACAAACTCCAAATCTATCTATTTTATCTTAATTGAAGATGACACATTAAAAACAAATTTAAACAATGTGCTAGATATTTATCCAACCGACAAAGGTCTAGTCATTTTTCATTTGGAGAAGTACTGAACAAACAAATTCTTTGAAAGGTAAGATATTATTTTAGATCCATGAGTCACTTTTGTAGATCCCATTATAAATATCCCTGACTCCCATACTGTGGAAACTTTGTAAAGCCAGCTCTCCTGAGTGTGAGTGGCCTGCCTCACAGACAGATTTTCAAGGGAGTTGACTTGACTATATTTTTCTAGAAAGGCCTGTTTGATGATGTATAAACCACAGTATTGAAATTCTTAGAGATCCTTTCCCTGGTAAAAACTTTTAAGAGAGTATCGGCCACAGCATGAAATTTGAGCTTTCCAATGAAAGAAAGCCTGACAAACAAATGTATTGAAAAAAAATGGGGGGCGGGGAGAAAAAGCCTTTCCTTACTCCTGATTTCCCATTCTTTGTGGTAGCAGCAAAGTTTATTTTGCCACAAACAAGTCTGCCGAGGTTGGATGCACCTGGCTAAGCCTTAGTTTCATTCTTTCCGAATGCTTGTCAGCACTTTGGGTCCAATAATGATTGTTTTGCTAAGCTTTTACCTTCAAAATGTGACCCGCAAGTGTTTAAAAGAAAACAAAACTCATGAGTTATGAATTTATCTTTCATTCATCAAATGTAGTTTATAAAGAGTTACTTGATGTGTAAGAAGTCAAACAATCCTTGTTTGATAAAGGAAAGAGAAACACTAATTGAATAGGCTCCCCTTCTGCCTGAGGCTGAGTTCCTTGTGCAAACGGGTTCTACACTTGACTTGGGCTGCATTTGCTGACTCTTGATCATAGGCACATCTCACCCCAGTTATTCCAACCTTCTCAAGGAGAGATCAAGGAAAGCATGAACAATTTTATCAGTCAGCCCAAGATCTCAATTACAAGATCATTGTGCAGTGTGTGGGGTGGGGTAAAGTGACAGTATGGTGGGAAGGCCAGCTGGCGTGGGAGGGAAGGGAGTATGACTAACTCCCTCCCACAGCTCACTTGTCAAGACAGTCATTTGGCCAGCTTCCTCCTGTCTTTCAGTTTCAGCTCAAAGCCATCATTGACTCTTAAGACTGAGGAGCCTTCCTGTACGGACATCCATAGCATGCACTCCTCATCAAAGCACTTATTCTATTTATTAGTAATTCTGCTTTTACTTATTCTAAACTGTAAGCTCCATGCTGAAACATCTTGCTATACTCAGGTATCTCTGTTAGATATTAGTCCCTATCACAGAGTAGAGGCTCAAAAATCACTTATTCAATAAATGAATTAAAAAATGAATAGCGATTAGATTATAAAACAGGGGGAGGGTGTATATGTTTTAACACTATCCCTTCATGGCTAGGGATTTGTATCCTTTGGATGGCTGTAGGTCTTTGGGCTTTAAAGAAGAGTAAAGTCCTAGAAGCTTTTGAGGTGTATAAGGAAAGAGGTATGTGTTTGGCACAGAAGCAAGGAATTTAGATCCTAGTTGACTCTACACAGAGGAAAAAGGAATCTGCAGATTTCCTCCTCTGCTATCTAGTCCAGCTCACCAAGATATTAGCCAGTAGGGATCCAGGCTGACTTGCTCACCAGGAACAAAGACTGTGTAAATGGAGAATTTTTGTGTTCCATCTCTAAGGGCCCAGAATGTGATGGAGAAATAGAAAGTTAAAAATCCCAAAACTTACAATAACGTTATACATGAGATCTATTTAAAATTAGGCTCTGTGTTCTAAATATATCTTATATGGGTAAGGACCTTGGTAATATTTTACTTTATATTCCTTTTTATAATAGAAAAACTACTTTCTATGTGCTAGCTTTCTGTTTTTAAGTATCTTAAGGAGTATAAAAGCTGGTGTGTTTGTGTGTGTGTGTGTGTGTGTGTGTGTGTGTGTGTGTATGTGACAGATTTAGAAAATAAACTGCTTTAAAAGGCATCAATAAAAAATGTATTTTAAAATCACTTGAATCTCCTACAAAAATCCAATGATGAAAGTTCTTTTTCAACACTATGATATAGCTCAGTTCTAAAAAGTGAGAGACACTAGCCATACATTAATTGCTCAAATTTGGTTAAATAACTAAATTTAAGTTTGGAGAGCTAAAGCTAAAACCACCGACAAATTTGAGATATAATCAAGTAATTCTAGGTGTTTGCTGTTCATAGTTGATATGTTTCATGAGATAAGATTTAAATGGCAGAATGTCTGAATATACAATAAGATTTGCTATAAAAAGTGATTCAAAAATGATTCCTCAAATTGTCATCTGTGAATGCATCATGCTAAAGCTTCTTATTCTTTTTATTACAAAAGAATTAATCGAAAAAAATCTTTTTTAGTGTTAGAATAAATTTTTCTTCAGTCTCCTCTATATAAATATTTTCCGTTTTTCATATACTACATTGAGTGGCCCTTTACCTTTATAATTTCTATAAAACTTGTTTTTTCCTAATTTAATATTCTGTTTTTCTCAGTGTCCTCCCTTTAATGTTATTCTTTTTTCTCCTCCTTCTTTGCTAATTTTCCTTTTTATTTCTGATTCCCTCTCTCTTCAGCCCAGACCTCAGTGTCCATTCTTGGCTGCCTTAAGCAATATTGCTGATCTTAGCTTCTCTAGCATTTTCTAAGAATGATTTTTCAAAGATACATCTATTTATGGTGGGATTCTCTGTACCATAACTGGTAAATGGAAACAAGTAAAATAAAGAATGACCTTTGGCCCTTGTAGTCCTTGAGGTCCAGGTGGTCCAGGGGGACCCTAAATCAAGAAAAGACAAAGTTTTAAAAAGCAGCGAGTGTATGTATTACAATTTATGCTTTAAATAGTAAGTGCACTATATACTTCCCTTATTTCTGTCATAATCAAACATCCCCCAACATTAACTTGCAATGAGGACAAGTTTCATCTGTTATGTAAGTATAAAATTACCTACTTCTGTGCAAAACTATCAATACAGTTAGGTAAAATAACACTGAAGATGCTTTTGAGTTGATTCTATAACATAATGTAAAATTGCTGCTATGTTCCACATTCATCTCCTTGGGATGAATTAGCATGCTAATATTACCTGTGTTTCTAGACACCCAGTCTTCCTCCCCCACACAAAGGATTTGATTTCCCAAACTCTAAAGAACAAAGCCACATTATTATAGGATGGAAAACTTTAAGAAAAGTAACAATAACTTTCTTTTGGTCTTTTTCACTAAGCAGACAAAGTGGTTTAATTGGGGCAAATGTAAAAGTTATTAATAAGAAGACATAAAACTAAATACCAGATAGCAACAATTGCTACATTAGTACCATTATGACTGGCATGCATCAACACCACAAAGTCACAAACCACAGAAATCATGCATAGGAGTTACCGTGACAGTTAAGGTGGTAATCCTCTGTTGGGAAAATGTATTGACAAAGACAGAGTTACCTATTTTGTGTGCCAAAGTACAATAATACATTTCTGAAATGATCAAATTTTTGAATATGTTTTGGGAAGCCTGATGTCTTATAAGGGATTGAGAAGATATTGAGGACATATTAACCTATCTTTAAATGAACACAATACAGTAATAAAGGTTTTGGGGGTGAGGTCAGAACTCCATTCATCACTTGATAAAGATTGTTTTTAAAACCATTTTTAGAGTTTTCTTTAAAAAAAAATCTATGTGTAAAGAACAAAGAAAATGTCAAAGTTTTAATTCACCTGATTAAAAAAGTGTATGTAGTTAAATGGTGTACAGTAGAGGTTTGTCGGCATAATTGTGAACTGAGTTCCATTCTAGAGCACTTAAATTAGAGAAAGTGGAAATGTCCAATTGTATGTGTAAGTAAAGATAAGAGGTGACATGGAATTCATCTAGTTTCTTAGTGTAAAGTACTATAATAAAATTTATTCTGTTAAATAATGAATCTCCACTACATCTGACCCTTAATCCATGAACTGTTTCTGCACTCATGTTTTCTAGTCTAAGTCCTGTGCAAAGACTTCTGTAGAGCCAATCACCCCGTGATCTGGTTATAGAGGGAGCACATTTTCCATCAGGAACTCTGCTCAAAGAAACACGTTATCCAGTTACATGTAAACTTGTGAATATTGATTTGACACCATCCCTTTGTTTTCCACTCCTCCAGTCCCATTTCTGACTCAGGTTGCCATTGGTACTGTTGTTTATTATTGTTGTTGTAAAAAATAATCCCAGTATTACAGATCTTATTTTGAATACTTGGGTCTTTAGTGACATGGACTCATCATTCCTTAGAAAACAATATATTTATGCAAACCATGTACAAATGGTTTGTATACTATGATAAAATCAGTCACTGTCATTACAGCTTCATGGAAAACACAGTAGGAAAGAAACCACCAGTGCTTCTAAGACAAAAGGCATAGCGATCACGTACTAGGGGCAAGTTTAAAAAAAATACCAAGGCCTAGTTTTTATACTATCATATCTGTGTAACATAAGGTACCACTTACTTTCCATCAAGGGATTCACCTAGAATCAGAGTCAGATTTATTGCTATGAGAAAGCTACTTCTTTGCTCCTGTAAGTAGGCAAGTCATTTTTAAAAAGGCTATTAGAGTATTATAGAGTAGAAATAATTTCTTTATCATTGTTCTCCAATCATATATTTTTAACTATAAAAAATCCTAAAAGAATCCTAAAAGTTTAGAAAGGGAAGGGTGTTTACAATTTCAACTCTCTGAGGTTTTCCAAATGTACCATATTTGAATTCATTTTCCACCTGGACACAAAACTATTTTGCCTTTTTTGTTTTAAATGTAAGGAAAACAATGTGTTTTATAATGAGTTACATAATAAAGGCATATTATTGATGGTAACTGAACTATTCAACAGATGGAGTTTACGTGATTTTGTCAAATAACTATATTTTGTGAGACCTAACAGTTACACAGGGCAGGTTTCATCCAGCTAATAATAAAAAAACAAATGACAAACTAAGCTAACTTCTCAACAACATAGCTTTTACCACCACCCTGAAGCACCCACATGCGGGCACACAGGGACATCCTAAAGTTGTTGGCTCACACTAAATTTCTTGTGGCTGGTTCCTCCACATTACACCTATGGGAACACAGCAGGGTTCTCTCCTGAACTCCATGAATGATTGGAAAACCAGAATTTTTGGTAGTGACGAAGAAAGACACGTTGTTCTCTAGTGAGGCACGATGTGAAATGGGAGGCATGAGCTGAAGCAACTGTAAATTGGTAGAAGTCTAGCAAGCTATTTTGTGATTTATTCCCTGAAATGCTTACATGAATCTCTTCAGAATTAAAGTTTATTTTCTTTCATGTCTCATAATGATGCAAGCTGAAAATCACCATGATTTATTAGAGAATAGGTTTAATTTAGATGGTGTTGAACATTTTTAAAAACTTTAGTTCAGAAATGGAGAGGATTTACTGCTAATTGTGGAAACTTAAAAATCAAAGTAAGTGGCATACGGCAATGTTTCCGTAAATAACAATTTTCAATAAAGGCAATGATGAAATTGTATATTTTAATGTGGCATTTTTATAATTGTAATATACATTTATTTACCTAATTATTCTGTATTTTTTGGATTTTTTTTAGAGGAGGAGATAATAAAATGAAATGGACAAGATGGTGAATATCCATCACTGGTTACAGAATTAGAAGAAAAAACGTCTACTACCTCCTTCTCAGTCTAATGGTTGCTTAGCTTAGTTGATTTTGTTCGGGGCCCTTGTTCCACGAGATTAGGGAAACAAATAGTTTCCAAAAAATAACTATAAACTATTTACAAGCATAACACGAAGTTGCCCTAACAACCTTATAAAAACAATAAATCTTTATTTAGGCTGAGATATAAACACGAACTAATTGACTATAATGGATGCTGACTGGTTTCCTGTCATATAGAACTTGAGGCAGAAAAAGAAACTGAGCTCATATATCCTGTCATATCAAGATGTGGGTGTCAATGTTTTAAAAGTACAGTGCATTTAGGTATATTTATAAAGGATGTTCAGGAGCTCCTAAAAAATGACCTTGACCATAATACTAGATTTTATAGGCTCTTAGAAAGAATCTATTTTGAAATATCTTTACAACTAAGATCAATGAAGTATAGACACACTCACTGATTTCCCAAAAATGACTCAGCTAGTTAATAGCAGAGGGGAAATCAAAACAGATTTTTGGTTTTAGGCTGAGAGTAGCTTGCTTCAGGCCTAACTCTGTTCATGCAAAAGATACTTTAAAAGACTCAGTTTTTCCAGAAATGGTCATAGCCTATAATATTAGAGCATTTCTTGGAAGCTACGAGAATGTATACCTTTTGAAGGTGATAGGAAGAATTATGGTAACACCGAAAGCAGTTTAAGAGAAATTTAATTGCCAATAGATTAAGTTATAAACTATGTCCCTTTATTTTATAAGTAAAAGCTTTGAAAGCTTACTTTATAATTAAAAGCTACATATGCTTTTACTTTATAAGTAAAAGCTACTACCTACGTAGTAGGTATACCAAAACTTCTTATTCTCTTTCTCTCTCTTTCCACATGCAGTTATCAATTTGTGGAGAAAATTAACAATTTAGAAATCTGGTTCTAGAAGTTGACAATAGCCAAATGCTACTGCTTATATCTAATCCAGGTGTACTGAGGAACACTATTTCAAGCTATTTACTGCACATACTGACCAAGCAGCATTTCTTCAAGCAGTAAGCATGCTTTTCTTTGCATTTTACCAGAAGAAAAAGAATGAAAAGAAAAAGAAGCTGCACTGAAAACAGATTCTGCAAAAACTACTTAATAAATGCTTTACTAGTTAAAAATGGTAGTTGTAGAAAGGACCCATAGAAATGTAGATCTACTATAATTAGACAGTGAAATCATAAAGATGGGGGGAAAAAGTCAATCAAGTTAAAAATGGCAAATATTTAATACAACTAATTTGGCGTCCAAGCTAAGAAATGGATTGTACATATAGGCTAAGTGTACTCACTTATCAATCAGTAACCATTTATCCAATATTTATATGCCTAGACCTGTGCCAGGTACATAGGAGGATATAAAATAAGCATGAGATATACTTCTGTCACCAAGAAACTTACAATCTGGTAAGAGGTGAGACTAAAATAAATTATGTGATTTGAGAAAAATTAAAGATTAGGCTAATGGGTCCTGACTGCTGATGTTGTGAAAGGAAGAATCATCTGGGTGGCAGCAGTATGTTGTTAGATGGGATTTAGATGGATGAAAGAAAGGGAAGAAGAATGGGATGAACCAGGCAAAAAGAGGGCAATTTTTGTGGATATGATAAACATGGCCACTCTCAGGGAGTATCTGTGTTGTGGAGAATAGGAAATTCTCTATTATAGATCAGAATTATAGAGCTTTGGAAGTCAAACGGAGAAGTTTGGACTCGATAGAGTAGGCAAGGTGGTCATTTAGGTTTCTGAGCAGATCAGAGCCTTCAAAATAATAATGGTTTGGGAAAATTAGCTTAGAGTGATACGCAGGATGGGTTAGAAAGGGCTGGGACTAGAAGAGTTGGTCAAGGGGCTGTTGCAGTGTTAGCTCTGGAACAAACAGGATGTGGACCAAGTCAGGAATGGAGAGAATAAAGCAACCTCAGGAGACACTTTGAAAAAGGAAATAGCAGCCTCTGTTGAGATTTAATGGATGAAGCACTAAGAATATTTTAAAATGATTCTAAAGGTTCTATCTCAAGAAAGTTAAAGAATTATAGTCTCACTAACAGAAATTAATTAGTTGAGGGGAATCATTTGATGGGTGGGAAAAGTAATCAATATAATTGTGTATGTTGGTGGGAGATGAGAAGGCAATGGTTCATCTATAGTGGAAGTATTCTGAGACACCTGAAGGCACATGCAAATCAGATGTGGAGGGTGAAAGATTTGGAAGACACAACACAGAAGAACACAAAGGAAGTGCCTGAACCAAGAAAAGATCAGAGACTTGAGGATACCAAAAATTAAGTATGGCAGAGAAACCGGAAATATTAAGAAGAAACCTAGAAGAAATTAGAGGATTAAAAAAACCAGAAAGAAAGAGTTTCAAAAGGAAGATGGTTTAGCATAAGCATCACAGAAAATCAAGGGTGATGAGTACAGTGAGATTGATCTAGAGGTCACTGTTGGCCTTTCTAAGAGAGGTTTCAACAAAATGTTGATATAGGCTAGAATGCCAAAGTCTAAGCATGAAAAAGGTGAATAGGAAGCAAAGGTAATAGAAATAAGCCACATAGTCTATGGATTCTTACTCTATAGGTATTTTTCTATGGTAATAACACATTATATTATGAATGGTAGCAGCAGTAAGAGATACCTATTTAGAAGACTTATTATGTGCCAGGCACTTCTAAGTGTATAGTAGGTATTTAGCCATTTACTTCTCATAACAACCCTTAAGGGCAGGTATTACTACTATCCTCTTTTTACAGACAAGAAAACTGAGGCACAGAGAAGTTAAATAACTTGTTTCTAGGTCATGAACTTAGTAAGCAAGAGATTTGCAGCTAGGCAGCTCTGACTCCAGAGCTACAAGTCTCTTAATTGCTTTGCTACACTTGCTTTTAAAGCAAAGGAGACAAAGACTGGCAAAATGAATGAAGGTTTAAACCAGATAGCACTAAAACATATCTGAAGGCAGAAGGGAAAAAAAGGAAAGATTGAAAAATGCTGAGAAATAAAGAGGATACACTGGGACAGGGAGAAGGAGATGGGCTCAGGAGATCAGGAAGAAGGTGTGCTTTGAGCAGTAGAGCCCTCTGGGATGCCGGGGTGGGGGTGGAAGCTGATATTTACATACATTACATGGGTGCTCATCAGTGTCCCTGTGCCAGGGTAGGGGGCAGTCACTTGCCTGCAAGGCTTCGTGGAGGTTGCCATTGTAGTCTATGATCTCAGTGGCTCCTTGATCTCCCTTTTGACCAGGTGGACCCTATGAAGAAAACCAACCAAGGGAAAATCATGGAAGTTGGGCTAGGTTGTACAAGGGATTGTGACAAAAACAGAAATAGCAACATATAGCCCTCTCTGAGCATCAATTCCTTGCATGGCCCAACTGCACTTTAGAATAATCATGTTCAAATTTTGTCTTTATTTCAAAGGAGGGAAACATTATTTTTTACAAATAGTTTAGTCAAGTTGGTTTCCATATAACACCCAGTGCTCATCCCCACAAGTGCCCTCCTCCATGCCCATCTCCTCCCTCACCCCCCATACCCATGAGTCCTCAGTTTGTTCTCAGCATTCAAGAGTCTCTCATGGTTTGGAGGCAAGCATTTTTAACTTCCTATAGATGGTGGATTAAAGACATGAAATCTGATTTTAAAAGAAGAGAAAGGATTCAATATCTGAGACTGTTTTCTGCAAATTATAAAATGTAGGCTAATCTAATTTGACTTGCAGCATTTTGTTGGCTTTAACACAGTATTTATTAACACAACTCCTAATCTCTTTCTAGTCATCTACATCTGATAGATTGTTTCCTTATTCTTTAAGAAGATGGAACACTGTTCTGACAGGAAATGCTTGTCTTTCTCAATAGGAATAGAATTCCATTAAAATTTAACCAAATAGGGAACCAATATAAGGCATCTACCCTACTTATTAGCTCTGCCACTGAATTTCTATTAGTCATGTCCTAATTCCCTGCCTGTCTTTAAAAAAGGCTTTGGAAATATGGGGTAGTGCTTTTTTTATAATTGAAAAATGGAAAATTGTATTAACTGGATGGTTATGGGCTTGCTCTTGCTCACTTAGCAGAGAGAAAGTGGCAAGAGTTCTTTAGAACTTCTTCTTGTGGAGCTTATTTTATGTGTTAAAATCTCTACACTCATTGATCCAGGTGACTAAAAGAAAAAAAGAAGAAAAAAAGAAGCAGCAGCAGAAGTAATCAGAGTGTACCTCCAGTGCTATTATTGGGTATTGTTATTCCTGGTGCCTTGTGAAAAGCCACGTGGACACATGAGTCAAATCTGGGCTTATAGGGGGCCAAAAGCCTAGATGAGAGATGTACTCACCCTTGGTCCCAGGGCTCCAGAGTCCCCTTTCTCTCCACGATCACCCTTTCCCCAGTAAAAAGAAAAAAAAAAAAAAGCTGAATTACTAGTGGGACCAACAGCCCAGAAATATCTCATATCTAAGGATGTATTTAATACCATGCAGCAGCACTCTCGATATGAACTTCTGAAGTGGAAATAACAACTAGAAGAACAATAACCCCTGACACAGCAAATGCTCCATTAAGATGCACCATAAGCAAATTAAAATTCCCCTTTCAGATGACAGAGTATCTTGGAACAAAAATATATACAGTAACTCTCTTACTAGGGATCTTCAAAAGCAAAACAAGTGGTTTCTATGATACTCAAAGAAGCTTTTACCTCCCAGATTGAGCCATGTTCTTGTTTTTATTTGGGGCAAAGGGAAAAAAGAGCCAATCAACTGAGCTGTAAAAATCTAGATAATCTGAACTGGGAAGGAACAGAGAGCTCATTCTGGAGGAGTTTAGAAGGGAAAGGTCACCAGTGAGGCCTCTTTTAGATAATAATGAAGATCTAAGGAAAAGTTTCTCCAGAGGCATAGGCCTTTTAACACTCAGAAGGTGCTGAAGTGGACAGCAGCTGGCTCGAGCAGGTTGGCAGGGCTGAAGGTCAGGGGTGGGGCAAAGGCAGCTTTGTTTTTCCAATGTAATATGAAAAATTTCTCAAGTTCCATTCATGGTGCTATTACCCAACCTTGAGAGAAACTAGGAATAGTCCACGCATCAAACCACACATACATCACTCTGAGAGCACTGAAAATTCTTAAAAGTCTAAACAGAAACTTTGGAGAAGAGATTTGAACGTACGTTGATTTGAAAGTTTTTTAAGACAGCCTTAAATTGGCAGAGTCCTTTTCCTAAGTAGAATTCAAAGCATTTTAATGTGCCTTTCTACATATTTCATAAAATTGATAGGGACCAATGAAGGTAAGCAGGAAAAGAGATTTTAATCTTTTCTCCACTCACATTATACTGATAACACTGACCATAAGAATTAAATTTGCTATGAATAGAGAATTAATAACTTCTGGTCTCTGTTTCCTCATTTTTCACCCACTTTTTCATGTTATTAGCTGATAACATCTTAACATGGTTCTGTTGAATATATAGATTATTGCAGATATTATATAAAGCATGAAAAAGGAAAGTATTTCAATTGGTGGTGAAATTTTAATGCCATGGAGGGAGTCAACTAACTTAAAGCAAAGTACAATTTGAACATTTGAACGTTTACCATAAAGACAGTTAGGAAATAAAAAATAAGATTATCCCCTACATAATGTAAATTAAATAAAGCATTTTTATTCCAAAGAAGCTAATCTTATGTAATAGGAAATACAGCTTCTCTTAAAGAATAGTCTGAAGCACAAGAACACACAAAATGAGCAAGATGAAACAAACCAATTGTTTTGAGATATTAGGATGGAAATAATGCAATCCCACTGTCAGAGAGTTTAAAACGTGATTCTCTGCGGAAGAGGCAAAAGCTACAACTCTTGAAGGCCTCCTGTGACATTAAATGGTTACTTGGTTACTGACCTTTGACCCCTTTGGGCCTCTAGTTCCTGATTCACCTTGTTTCCCCTATTATAGGAGAATATGAAGATGGAAAAGAAAAATGACAGAAGAGATAAGAACAGAAAAAAGAAATTAGCAGTGACTTAGAATAAGGAAGAAAAATGGAAACACTTTATTTTAACTGCCTCAGTATATGGCTCTATATCATGTTGACTGCTGTAACAACTAAGCATAAGCAGTTATCACCATATCACCAGTTCATTCCTTGGTGTCTCCACCACCTTCATTCCATTATAATTCTGAAGACAGCCCACCCATCAGTGGATAGGAAGTGCTCTGTGAATAATCCTCATTAGTTTCAACAGTGTTGGCACACATTTCTTTTTCATCAAAGAGTAAATCATTTCCTGTGTCTCTAGGATGGGTTATTAGAATAAAGTGTTGCCATATTAGTTTGTAGCAAGTGTAGAGGAATAAAGACTAAACAGCCAAATAAATCCTTAGATCTGATATTTTCAGGGTGTTACACACCTTCAAGTTACCACAGAAACTAACACAGCATATATCAACATTTTTCTCAGTAAGCTTTAATACACATTGAGTGATAACATGTTAATACGACAGCACCTCCCTTTTTACATTTGGATGTGTTACTAAATTTGTTCACTGAATAGAACAGAGAAAACTGGAAAAGTTGAATTATAAAATTCCTTTTGAGGAGAACCAGTGTGCATTTCAATATATTGTGATTTTTGCTGTTTTAGTATCTCTTGAGGAACTGTATTTGAGTTTCATGTTCTAAAGTAAGTAGGGGGCACCTGGGTGGCTCAGTTGGTTGAGTGTCCAACTTGGGCCCAGGTTATGATCTCACAGTTTGTGAGTTGGAGCCCCACATTTGGCTTGCTGCTGTCAGCACACAGCCTTCTTTGGATCCTCTGTGCCCTTCTCTTTCTGCCCCTTCCTCACTTGTTCCCTCTCTCTCAAAATTAAATAAAACATTCAAAAAACGAAGGAAGTAGGACACATTTCCAAACTAAAGAAAGCTAAGTTCCAATGCAAGAATAACTGACCTTTGGTCCAGGGGCTCCAGGCTCCCCTCGCTCCCCTCTTCCAGGAGGCCCCGCCTCCCCACGTTCGCCCTGTCACAAAATACAAAACAAGTAAATGGCAATTTCCTTTACCCCCAGGCTAGTCCCTGCAGATTAGTAAGTGAATTGAATAAAATCAAGGAAAGCACAGAGTTACCATTATTTACTATGTATCCTGCAATCTCAACATGGATTATCTCATTTAATAATCAAAACAATTATTCAATGTTTGTAGTATCATTCCTGTTTTATAGACAAAGAAATGGCTTGGCAATGCCTGCCTGATACCTATGTAGGTAAATAGATCTTTAAAAGGAATTGATAAGGGCCATCATTGTATCTCAACACGGACATGGACACAGTTTTCTTTCTGTAGCCACTTTTTTAGATCTGCTGAGAAGAAGATGACAAAGTGGTTGAGTGCCAGGTATTATACTCTGATGTCCTGGGTCTTAATCCTGGTTTTGTTATTTACCAGTTCTGTGTTTGGGAACAAATCAGTTAAGTTCTGAAAGCCTTGGTTTTTTTCTGAAATGTGAAGACAACTATTGTACTGATCTTACAACTTATAAATGCAGAGTGCTTAGAATGGTGCAAGATACATAGGTGTTACAGCCTTTTACTACATTCATAGCTCTATGCAGTATGAACATGATCACTACCCTCCAGGAGCTAATTATCTAGTTAGACAAGATCCACATAAACAAAATACTTAAGAATTAAATAATGATATAAGGCTATACATGAGAGAAGAGGAAATCCCATAGGGTTTTGAATGGTGTAGACTGGATCCCTGGAGGTAAGAATTCATTCGTGTTCTAAAGATGGTTAGGGTGCATTTTATAATTATTGTTGATAAATGCAGCAACTGCATAAAACACTTCACATGCACTCTCTTTTTTAATCCCTGGGACAAATAAGAAAGGTATTAGTTCCCATAATCTATAGATGAGGAAGCTGAAGCTCAGACAGGTTAAGAACCTTGGTGAAAGTTGCAAAGCTCTTAAAGTGGGAGAGCTATGATTTAAAACAGATTGTATTCCAGCAGCAATCCTCAGTTAGCTGGAGGGGAAGTGGGTTGGGGGATGGGCTAAATGGGTGATGGGCATTAAGGAGAGAACTTGCTGGGATGAGCATGGATGGAGTGTTATATGTAAATTTCAGGGTTCTACTCTTAAAACCATTACTACGTGGTATGTCAACTAACTTGAATTTAAATAAATAATTTTTTAAAATATTAAAAAATAAAACTATTCGATCTTCATTTTTTACATATATGTTTGTGTGTGTAAATTTGTGGCATATATCTGGTCATTTTCTTAGGTTAAATTCCTAGTTGGGGAATTGCTGGGTCAAAAAGTATGAACATTTGAAAAGCTTGCCAAATTGCTCTCCAGGAAGACCGTGTCGTTTTACATTCATGAGCACAGAGTACAGAGTGTCGGCTTCCTGTATGATGGGTAGAATTTCAATAATCAAACAGGTCTGGAATTCAGACTGGTGATGGCATGTTTATGGGTGGGAAAGGCACCCTCCTCATTGACGAAACTGATTCATCTTAGAAAAGAGAATTGAATAGCATTGGATTGGTCATGGGTAATGTTGGGCTCTAAATTTCAAGATCTTTATCTCATCCCAACTCTGGGAAGATTTTGGGGGTTTGCAGGGGAGGTGGGATAGATTAGGGCAAAGATTAAAGAAGACTCAGTAGTTCTGCAGCATGAACTGAGAAGAGTGTGAACACAGAGAGGCTGGGAGGAAGGCAAGGGACTTATCTGGATGGAAAAGTTGTTCCGGAAGGGATTTTCCAGGGATTAGAGATGGAAGGGCCTTTGTTGGTATATGAAATTTTAATTTTTAAATAATGTACCATATTTGGTCTTTCTTTTACTATTTCACAGAATTCTGAAATAGTAACTACGAGCTTATTTTAAAGACAAGCACAAGCCTGAGAAAATCATTTATGTATAGTATACTACAGGAGTGGAGCCTATATATCTTTATCTAGAATAACATTTTGTCACAATGCCCTTAATCTGCTGCTTATCACTCTATGGAATTATACTATTTGTGTGTTTACTTCTTTCTCTTTCCATCCCTGTCTCACACATAGTGGAATGTAAGTTTTAGGAGAGTAGAAACTGTTTTTGTTGCATTTACTCTTCATTCTCAAATATTAGAAAAATGTCTGGCAAAAAAATGTGTTGAATTAATACATAAACATTTTATTCAAGTATTCTGAGTTATTCACCATTTCTTTAGACTGATATAGACACTGAGGACATAGCAGTACATAAAACAGATTTTTAGATACCATCATACATCTTCCTTCCTTATGATCTCTCTTCACTGTGTTGGGGGTTAAATATGCAGGGTTAGTTTATTTTTTATTTTTTATTTATTTATTTAATTTTTTTTAAAATCTGAATTTAGTGATATAAATCTAGACTTGCTTACATAACTGGAAAAAAGGCCACTGTTCAGCTGAAAGAGATTTGTAAATAAACATGATTTTTCCATTATGATACCACATTCATGTTAGATAAGCAATTCAACTAAAAATTGTTAATATTGTTAATAAAACAAATTTCCTACCCACATTCCTTCATGTGGAAATACAAAAGAAGTATAGTACATTCTTTACTTTTATGGGGATTTCTGAGTAGTATCTATTATAAAAGTATCTGGTCTGTAAAATAAGACTGGGTATTTCATGAACAGTAATTAATGTTGGTTTTATGGGTTTACATCAGAAGAGTTTTTTTTAAGCTACAGAGTAGTTTAAAGATTTTGTTTTTAAGTAATCTCTATACTCAACATGGAGCTTGAACTTACAACTCTGAGATCAAGAGTCTCATGCTCTACTAAGTCAGCCAAGTGTCCCAAAATTACAAAAACGTTTTAAATCAGTGAAATGAAGAAAAGATATTTAGGGATGAACTCAACTACCTACTATCTGTTTCTTCAAATTTCCTTTTTCCCCCCCTTTCTTTCTTTTTTTTGGGGGGGCAAATAAAATGCCACAAATATTTAAAGATCTACTTCATGCTTGGTTCTCTCTGTCAGTGGCCAAGTTTTCTATTTCTTTTTGCTGATCTATGAGTCTGCCTTCTTTCTTTACCTGGCTCTGAGGTTGCAAGCCTGAATAAATACAATAATTCTCATGTGAATACTGAATCTTCATTATTCTCTTGTTTTCTGTCTCTTTATTCCAGAAAGTGCATTGCTTGTGTGAATCTGTTCAGGCTAAATCAGGCATTCCTCATATTTTGTTAATAAGCTCATAATGTGAAAAAGAAATTGCTTGAGAAAACAGAAATTTTGCATAAAATCTACTGAGTTTCAGTCCCCCTTGGGCCACACATAGTTTCAATTTACTAGGATTAGAGTTATTTTCTCTTGATCAGTGGAAATGAGGACCCCTCTGTCAAAACAGACCATGAACATATTTCTCTAGCTCTTAGAAATCATCTTGGCTTATTTTTGGTGAATGCAATACACACTGAGACAAAGACTTCTATAGTTTAAAAATAAAAGAATGTAGTTTGATCTAATTTTGCCCCTTTGATTCATGAGTCTGTCATGAGTAAAGTTCCATCCTCAGAGCTGTACCTTTTTATGTCTTATTGGGTAGATAAAAAGAGAACTATGGGTCTGACTATATCCACAGCAACATAATTTTTTATATGGTGGCATATAGATTTTGCTTTTAGGGTCCTCTTTAGGGTTGCCAAGTGGAAGATCATGAAATGGTTTTCATTACAGAATTTTTCTGTAGACATTATTCAGGATAGATCCTTTTGAGATGAGGCACTTAGGCATCTATATGACATCAGTACTTGTCTTTGAAATCTAGGCAGTGAGAGGGGAATAGTAATAATGCTTGATTTACAAGTATGTCCTAAAATTGGCAATAAGAAGCAGAAGTTAATGAGTTCTATTTCTCCTCATCAGAATTCTCCCACTTTTTCACATGATCAAGAGGCAAATAGCATCATTTCAATTTAAGAATCCCTGGGGGAAAACCGGAGCAACAATAGTATATTTCACTATCATCCTGTCTTACCTAAAGCTTTCTGGAGTTAACTTTCTATTACTCTATTAAATATGGCATTCCCATTAGAAGTGTTAGTAACAAATGATAGGTTGTTTTAGTTCTCTATTAGGCAAAAATATCTGGTCACCTAGATAATAAAGTCACCTCACACTTCTTTCAACATAATGGACTAAAAATATATTACAAAATATTTCAGAAATAAAGGAAGGAAAAAACTCCACTTACCTTTGTTCCTGGTAACCCAGGTAAGCCTGGTTCTCCTTGAGGACCAATGAAACCTGGTTCTCCCTTTAAAAAATGGGGCACATGAGATTGTTATACATTTGGCAGTAAATAAGTAAAGTTAAACTGATTGACTTTTACTGCGGTTTTACTCCTTTGACTGTACACGGTTTTCCTGATGAGATCGAGCTATTGACTAGAAAATTAATCAGCGTTGGTTTTGATCAGTGAAAATACTCTGAGCAAAGCTTTGGAGAAACTTTAGAAAGTAAAAGTGACAAAGAAACCAGATACACATCTTTAAAAATTTCTTTCTCATCTGTTGTCTGGCATTTTTTAACATTTACCATATTAAGATCCATTATATTAGGGTGGATGTGGTAGGTGGCCTCGAAGATAAGCCTCAATGATCCCGCCTGCTACATATTCATGCGCTTGTGTAATTCCTCTGCTGAAGTGTAAACTGGACTTACTGACTCATATCTAACAAATAGAATATACTGGCAGAAGTAAAGGGATATCATTTCTGAGACTAAGTTATAAAAAGACCATGGCTTCTATCTTGTTCTCTCTCACTTGGATCACTGCTTTGGGAAATCAAGCTGCCATGCTGTGAGTAGCCCTATGAGAGGTCCACATGGTGAGGACCAAGTTCTGCTGACAACCACATTTGTGAGCTTGGAAGCAGATGTTCCACCCCAGTAGAGCCTTCAGAAACCACAGCCCTGGCTTACAGCTTGACTGTAACCTAATGGGAGATACTGAGCCATAGACAACCATCTGAATTGTGCTCAAATTCCTATTCTTCCAAAACTGTGAGGTTAATTGTTTGTTTTCAGTTTTGAAGGTAATATGGTAGGTAGCAATAGATAACTGATGTAGTAGATGTGGCTAGGAAAGAGATTCAGGAATGTTCAGCATGAAAGGAATATATTTCTCCTTGCTATACCTTCATAATGTCTTCCCCACTACCTGGAGGAAACCAGTTGTGATATGATAAAAAATGTATTTGGTCTTGTTCCTGGTTCCTTGGACAGAACTCTTAACACCCGGAATTTCTTGAGTGATAAAGCATAATAGGAGTATCTTTTGTTATTCATAACAAACTCCTTTCAAACATACCTGAGTTTATGCTAATGAGGTGACTGGTGGGTTCTTAGATAGTTTCAGGATGGGGGCTATGATAAGGTTGAAACTTTCAGTTCTTTTCCTCTCACTACCTCCAGAGATGGCAGAGGGGCTTGAGATTGAATTCAATCACCAATAGCCAATGGTTTAATCAATCATGCCCATGTAATGGAACCTCTATAAAATCTTTAAACAGTGGCGATTGGAGAGCCTCCAAGTTGGTGAACATATCAATGTGCTGGCAGGATGGTACATCTCTACTCCATGGGGACAGAGGCTCTGGTGCTTGAGACTTTTGACTTCACCCTATGTACCTTTTCATTTGCATCTTCTATAATAGACTGTGGTAGTTGAGCACCACACTTTTTCTAAGTTCTGTGAGCTATGGTGGCAAACTATTAAATTTAAGTGAGGATAAAAGTGGGTTGGTTGTTATATCCTTGAATTTGTAGCCAAGTCAGAAGTGCAGGTAACAAGGAGGCCTAGTACTTGTGTTTGGGGGTTTAAAGTGAGGGCAGTCTCGAGGAGCCTTGTGGGACTGAGCCCTTAAAACCTGTGGAGTCTGATGCTAACCCTAAGTAGTCGGTATCACAATAGGATGGAATTGTAGGACACCTCGCTGGTGTCAGAGGATCAGACAGTTGGAGAATTGGTGTTGGAAAAGATACCATATGTTTGGTGTCAGAAAACACCTGAGACCAATGTTCACATTTCCTCAATATTCAAAGTTTTATTTTCTTCTTAACAATGTGAGCTCAAATGTAAGAGTCTAACTTCCTGAAATCTATAAAGAAGTTTTAATGCAGAAAATTCAATGGCTCTGTTCCATTGTTCTGATGGTACTGGTTTAAGAAAAAAAAAGGTGGAGGGGAAATAATGCTTTAGGTTTACTGTTTGTAAATTTTCTGCAACTCTGTTCTACCTATTCCCACACTCTTACACAAAATGGAAAGGAGAATCTAAACAAGTAATTTTGGATGATCTTTTAATAGTCTAAAATGAAAATCAACTATATTCAGAGAAATCAATGATGACCATTCTACTTCTTAAAAAAGAGTTTAACTTGTTATTTTAAATGAAAAAAAATCACATGGAATACATTTATTTACAAGTAACATATTTCTCCCAATAAAATTTTATAGACAAATACAGAAATATTCTCTGTCCACCCTCAAGAAAAAAGTTGTGGTAAAGTCAATGTGTTTCATTAGTAATGATTTACTGTCGTGAAAATATAATGCAAGTTAATAGGTTGAAAATTCATAGGTAGAAAAGACTCTTGCATATCTTCAAGTAGAAATAAACTGATCTTACTATTTAGCAAAGAAACTATAAGCACCAAGAAAGCATACTAATAAAAGAGAAGAAAAGAAGAGTAAATATTGAAAAACATATTTCTGATTCAGGTTAGTGTTTAGTTTATAAAAAGATGAAGCATGCAGTTTCAAAATTCACAAATAAATAAATTCAGTGATGTCAGTGGTCAGACAAAAGCAATTTTTTTCCTTAAAAAATACAATATATATTAATTTCTCTTGAGGAAAGTATAGAAAGTTTCTTTAAACACAATGTTCAGGGGGAAATTTTTTATTTCAAGATATAAAATTAGCAATGCATTTGACAGTCACAATAATTTTAGCACTACTAATATTGGCTAATTTTCAGCCTTTGAGTTTTACCTTATTTCACTCTAAGAAAGCATCTATCACAATGATGTAATCATTTCTCATTTCAATGTATTCAAGGGGAAAAATAGCATAATTAATTTTAAGATCACAATTTTATATTTATTTAATTCCAGAGCTCCAGCCACTTTGGAGATGTTATTTCCATTCTCTCTATATCTTGGCAGTATGGGGAAGAAATACTCATTGGTTTCTTTTCTGTCTCAGGCTTGAAAGACAATTGTTGAAGTAAATGATGCATAAATATGTCTACTCATGGTCTTGAGTTGCTTGGGTTGTTTCTTAACTTCCTAAGCTTATACCAGAGGCCCTCAAAGTGCCTTTTCACTTAACCCATATTAGCATGCAGAGTAGGAAAATTTCACTGTTATAGTTGGGTAGTATCAAAGAAGAATATCCACAATTTTATGAAAAGGCTATTAAAAATGATCTTCCTTTGTCCAATTAGTGAGGCTGTTTTTCTTCATATACTTCAACTAAAAGAAATTGCAACAGATTGAATGCATAAGCAGATATGACAATCCAGCTACCTTCTGTTAAGCCAGACATTAAAGAAATTTGCCTAAAAAAAAAGTATAACAATGTACTCTTCTTGCTAATTTTTTGTTTTGTTTTGGAAAATTCAGTTATATTACATTAAAAAATGTTATTTAACACAGTGCATTTTTTAAATTTCTCAGTTTTAATATATAATACATGTAACCTATATAGATGAAAATTCTTTCAATCTAGTTTTTAAATTTGTAAAGTTTTGAGACCAAAATTTTTGAGAAATGTTGGTATGGGTACAGAATTGAGTTAATGCCTGGCTGTGCAAATTGGAATCCTGAGGTGCCCAACGATGGAAGATTCTGGTGTTGTTAAGGGATGGTTTAGAAAAGATTTAATAGATAATGTAAGCAAAGCATTTAGTACTGTCTCCAGATGTTAGTTATTATTGTTGCCTTTATCTTATAGTCTCAAAAATGCTAGCTATCATTGTTATTGTTGTTGTTAGTAGTAGTATTACAACATCTCAGTAACTAATTGGTGATACACAAGGTGACTTCTTGTTTCTTTATAACCTGTATGGGCTATACTCAATACCTCTCCAACATCTTTCAAGAAGTAACCCTAAAGTTTCTCATGTGAATATATCATCACTTTATGAGACAATATCCATCTGCCAGAGACTTTAGGATTGCAAAAGCAAATGTATATAAGGTAGAGAAGTGACAGGTTTACTAAGAATCAGTTTTCTTCTTGTAAGGAAGGAAAAGGAGAAAATGACATTTTTATACTGAATTTCTCGAAGTAAATGTAATCCTTAAAAAAAAAAATCTTGTCTCTTTGACAAGGACTGATTAAAGGTTGTAACCTCCTAAAATGTCTAGGAGAAAGGTCATGACAACCTATGGTTCTGTGACCAAAAAATTAAAAAAAAAAAAAAAAAGCAATTGGTTATTTTACTATAGTCAAAATTGTAAGATAGGGGAAAGACACTGGGTTAAGGAAAGGAAGGGAAAAGCAGCTGAAATATCCAAACACAGATCACTTCTGGGAAAAAATTTTTGGAGAAAATCAAACTATACAGAAATGAAGCTATGTAAGTTTTCAAGGCACCGAACAGGAGAAATAACTATTTTTGTTGGACTATATAATAGTTCTGAGAGCTGTTTTTACATATCTGATCTTATTTAATCAATGGGAAATAAGATTGCTAAATTGGAAATTATTCACACATATTTGTCTGAGTACACAAGGTGGAGGAGAGATGTAATAAAGGAAATTGGAACTATAGTTCACTTAAGCTTGTACATTACTCTTAATGAAGAGGCAATTAAATTTACAGTTAAAAAGCTTTTTTATAAGGCAATTACTTGAATTAGTAAATCCAAATTATAATTTCTATGAGCATTTTAGAAATAACATGAAAACATAAAGTAGAGGATTTTTTGAAAAGGGCAGATGCTGACTATCATAATCAAAGAAACATATATTTACACAGGTATGCAACAAGTAAAATAGCTCCACCATTGAAGTGAAAACAATTAAATATGATACTTTATGAAACAATGTTAATCTTTTCAGTTTATGATGTGTTACTGCAAAACATCTAAGAAAAATGGGGGAAAGGCAGATCTTTAAACATTGGTTTAGGGGAATCTGGGTGGCTCAGTCCTTTGAGCGACTGACTCTTGATTTCAGCTAAGGTCATGATCTCAGGGTCCTGGGACCGAGCCCTGCATTGGGCTCTACACTCACAGCATGGAG